TCTAGGGCTTCCGTTTTGTATGTGTAAAAAAAGGGAGGGCATGGAGTCCATTGAGCTAAGAAATAGTGAACAAAAAAGGTGCTGTTTTAATAGTGACCATCCACTGAGTACAACCACTAGGCAGTGGAGATTCAGAAGTACAGAAGACATCATCTCTGTCCTGATTTCATTTTTATATGAAATTAAGCTGATGGTAACTCAGTAACTTAATGAAAAGAAACTTGGCAGAGAATACCAGCATTTAGGAGTAATGCCATGTTTACCCTATGCCCATTGCTGCTTTGAGTTATTTAACACTATCCTTTAAAAAAAATTGTGTTTTTCACTAGGCACAACACTATCACTGGGCGATGGCTGACCAGGTTTCAGGCTGTGTGGGACCCTAAACAAGAAGACTGTGTCGTCGTTGGCAGCATGGCCCATCCGCGACGTGTGGAAATCTTCCATGAGTCAGGACAGCAGGTGCATTCTTTTTTTGGTGGAGAAAGTCTGGTCTCTGTGTGTTCCATCAACACTATGCACCCAACTCGGTATATTTTGGCTGGAGGTAATTCCAGTGGAAAGATACATGTTTTTATGAATTAAGAAAGTTGCTGAGTGTTTGGTTTAGCAACATCAAAATTGGTTCAAATTAATCAGTATCTAAGGAGCCTAGTAATTCATGTGGCTTGGCCTTTTTAAAAATATGTTCTATTTAGTTAATATAAAATTGCTTTATTAATAAGAACTGTGAGCAGAATGTATACAGTTACATACTTACATGTTTAGTAAGGGAGAAGCCTTTTAAGTCATTTCTGTAGATTGGGAAAGGAATTTGAGGGGAGGCTGTGATGCCTTCAGCACTTTTAATCAGGCAGTATGTTGAGAAATTCTAGCATTATAAATTACAGAGCTTTGAATGATCAGTATTAAAAGTTCTTGTAGTTTCACGATACGGTTTTGCTTCTGTAGTGATACTTGGATTTGTGGTTTATTTCATAGTTTGGAGTAAATATTTCTAGACTCACACTGGAAGGGATCCTGAAAGGTCATCTAACTTAGTGATTATGAAACTTCTTATTTTTTAATGGAGAATTCTTTTTTTCCCCCTCCTGCCTTTAAATTAAATTTTATGTGAAATCCCAAGATACTTGTTGAGAAGCCTTGGTTCACTTGGGCAGGGGCCTGTCTTTGTGTGCTGACCCTTTTACCTCCTCTAGATGGCTCCTGAAGCATGGCCAAGGAATCGTAGGGCTTTTAGGAACAGGGTTTGGATCTGCCTGACCTTGTAATCCAGTGTGAGATTGCCTTCAGACCAGTGTTTTCCAGACTGGCTTGTAGCTATTCACATGAAATCCATGTAGCCATGACCAGTCTTTAAAAAAAAGGAAAAGGAAAAAAATAGTAAAGAATAATAAATGTAATGGATAAGGGTTGTTTTGTGAAATTTAGTTATATGTGCTTACATATATGTAACTGTATATGAATATGCATATTCCGATGTAAAACATATGTATTTATTACTGTGGTATACTGTGGGTCATGGTTAAAGAAGTGAAAACTCCTGCCTTAGAAGATCCCAGAGATCTTTATCTGTCCTTGTCTTTAAACTCTCCAGAGGAGATTCATTAGCCTTATTAAGTCAATACCTTCATTCCTAATTCATATTGGGGGGAAATGTTATGATAAACCACTTTTGGCATTTTGTCATAAACTTTTTTTTCAGAAGTTAGTGCTATGTGAATGCGTTTGTTGGAAGGGTAGCTGCTTAGTTCAGTGACTAACATTTCTGTGTGATAGCACCTATCTGAATTTTTTAATTGCTCTTCATTGCCAAACTACTACTGAAAGACTATTGTAAATAGTTTTTGGCAATATGTTTGAATTCTAAGAGAAAATATCTTTTCAAATTATATATCACAGAAATAAAATGACATGTATAGTTTCCTTCTCTGTAATTAGAGGTTAAGTCTAATTTTGAGGCCTAGTTTATTAAGTAGGTTGTGAGTGTGTATAAGTAATAAGAGTTCTCTATTTTCTTGATGATAGGAATATAGGAATTGGTAAGTGAAATGGAAAATTAATTTATGAAATGGAAAGTAAAGCTAAGTGAGGTTGACTTCTATTAAACTTCCCTGGAGATAGTAAATGAAGCCTGTAGGCTTCCTCTCCCTTTTTTATACTTCATTTCAGTTTCCAGAGTGGCAACTTCTTTGAGAATTGTTTTTTGTTTTTTTTTTTTTATGATATTGAAAAATACTCGCGTCAAAGTTAGTACCATCATTTAAGCTTTGAATTCTTGGTGGTAATTGCCTGGTTTCTGCAATAAATGTTAACAAATTCTTGATGTTTCTCACTTTCATGCTTTTTTTTTTTCCCCATTTCAGCTTCATAAACTCTGCTATTTATATTTAATTCCACTTAATAGAGTTCTGTCTTCTTGAGGCAATGCAGGAAGGAAGGAGAGTGGGGGGACTTGTTTCTCCATGACAAGCTGTATAATGGAGAAATTGTTTAAATCTAGAAAGCACATAAAGGAAAAGTGTCTCTCTTAGGACATCTTTAAACTGTAATCTGTTGTGAAAGGTACTTCTCCCAGAGACTTGGTTAAAGCTGTGTGGCTAGCTACTGTAATTGTTTGTATTTTTTGATTGCTCTCTCTTTTTGGGATAAACTTTTTTTTTTAGGTTATGCTTTATGATATCCCTTAAGCATGTAAGCTCTCTATTCCCCCTGAGTCATTTTCTTTGAGATGCCCAGCCTTTCTTTATGTGACTTTAAGGAGGAAGGAGATGATTCTCATCATATGTGGACAGGTAGGTGACACTATAGATGATCAGGAATTGGTAAAATCTGATTGATTCAGTCCTATTTTGGTATCCAGGTCTTTGAATTTCCTTTCCACAGAGATGACTTTGAAAAGGCAGTTCTCCAGGAAAGCAGGGAGCTTGAGGGCTGTGATTACAGAGATTTAAATCTTTTCAGTCAGTTACAGTACATGGGAAGTGGGGAGGGCAGGCACATGTGCCTTCTATATCAAACCCAAGAGGAAGAAATATATGCCCTCTAACTCCAGATTCCAAAAATCTAAGTGGCTATTGTTAGGCTGTCCCTTCTCACTTCGTACTTCTTTTGGTTTTTCCTTTGTGGCATTGTGCTGAAGGCCAGTAAGGAGTTTTAGTTCCAGGACAGCATAGATCCATATTTGGGTTCATTTGGCTATAAATGTTTTTGGATTTTCAAATGAAAAGGTGAAATTTTGTGAGGAAGATAACATTTAGTCAGGAGTAAAACATTTTAAGGTATCTCTTCCTAAAATGGAAGATGTAGGAGGAAACATTTTAAAAGTATCTTGTGCATGTTTGATTCCACTCCATCAGCAAGTTGTAAGGGTAGAGGAAGAGGGTATGGGTATGTAGAGGAAAGGAAGCCTGTTCATGAACTAAAACCAGCAGTGTAATCATGTGCAGAGGGGCTTAGTTATGGTTGAGGAACCCTAAGCAGAGGGAGTGAGTGGTGGATCCAGCCCTGAAAGGGTATATACATAGGGGAGTCTTCATTAGGAATCCAGAGAAGAGTGGCTGCTTTAAAGCTTTGGATCATGGGCAATCACTCACATCCAGGGGTTCTTCGGCTTTTCTCTCTGCAGATGACTTTAAGCAAAGACATTTGTCATCAAAAAAACAAACAAACCCCCCCCCCAAAACCAACAAAAAACACTCCACTAAGACAGGATCCTAGATATCATTTTATAGGTGATAGGAACTTCTGAAAATTTGGAGATGAGTAATATAACCTGATCAGTGCTTTAGGAAGATGATCTGGTAGCAGAATGGAGCACTGAAGGGCAGGTAGAAATGAAAACAGAGATAATAAACTAGCACAGTTGAACCTAGTTTCACCTTTTATCCTCAGGGAATTTAGAAGACCATTACCAGTTCCATAGCTTGAGTGATGGTTACATAATCAGGTGAGATAATGTTATAGGAATGTAGTTTGTAAGTTGTAATTATGAGGTTACTATAGTGGTGACACCATTCTGTTCCTTTCACAGGAAGGGTTTTCTGTTCTCCCTCTTACTTCAGGCTTGAGTAAGAACACTGGTCTAGAAGCTAGACCATCTAGGTTTCTTTTTTTTTTTTTTAAGATTTTATTGATTTATTCAACAGAGAGAGAGAGAGAGAGATCACAAGTAGGCAGAGAAGCAGGCAGAGAGAGAGGGGGAAGCAGGCTCCCTGCTGTGCAGAGAGCCTGATGTGGGGCTCGATCCCAGGACCCTGAGATCATGACCTGAGCTGAAGGTAGAGGCTTAACCCACTGAGCCACCCAGGCGCCCCTCTAGGTTTCTTTTTATTTTTAATTGTATTTTTAAGATTTTAAAAAAATTTAAAAAAATTTTTAACTAATCTCTTTACCCACTGTAGGGCTCAGGCTCAAAACCCTGAGATCAAGAGTCTTATGCTTTACCTACTGAGCCAGCCAGGTACCCTGGACCATCTAGGTTCTACTTTTGGGTTCTAAGACTGACTATGTAGCCTTAGGAAAATTACTCCTTGGTTTTCCTCATGAGAAGAATGAGATCCAATTCATCTGTAAAATCATTCCATTATTACAGCTTCCAAGTTTTTTTTTTTTTTTTTTTTTTTATTTATTTGACAGAGATCACAAGTAGGCAGAGAGGCAGGCAGAGAGAGAGGAGGAAGCAGGCTCTCTGCTGAGCAGAGAGCCCAATGCGGGGCTCGATCCCAGAACCCTGGGATCATGACCTGAGCCGAAGGCAGAGGCTTTAACCCACTGAGCCACCCAGGCGCCCCAGCTTCCAAGTTCTTAATCGTATTTATTTGTGGGGAGGGACAAGGATAATGGATGGATATAAGCCAAATGACTGTTTTAAGTGATTCTAGTCATGAACAGTAGTCAGCTATAACAATACCCCTGGTATCTTTTTATCTACATGTTGTTGGTAACTTTGAGGAAAAAGTGAGACAAGCTAGAAGTTAAAAAAAGAGTCCACTCTTCCATGATATTTAAATATTTATTTAAGTTTAAAAAATAATTTTCATGGCACCAATGATTTTATGCTAACTACATACTGCATATGTAGAAAAAAGTACATTGCTTTGAGGAAAAATGTAACTTAGAATTTTTGGCACACGAAAGGTTAACAACTATACTTTTTAATGAAACTAAGAAATTCACATTTGCAGGTAGTTTACCTTCTACTGCTTAAAGATGCAGTACACTATTCTTTAGTAAGAGTTTTATTTCCTCTGATGGATGAAGCTATGGAAACCATTGTTTTATTTTCTACAATGAGATCAAACTAATTTTGAGAGAAAATGGGAGACATAGTAGAACACAGTTAAACCAGGTTAAAAATTTAACAATGTTTAATAATGGGGAGATACCAAAAAAAGACTAGTCATCAACAAAGGAGGTTTGTTATTCAAGCAGTATTTGAAAAGCAAATCGAAGGAAACTTTACTATCTGTATTTTCTGGGGTAAGCCCTGGAAAAAAACCTAAAAATTCTGTTCAGAGAGCAAAGTCCAGCTCTTAGAAGTGGTATGGACTATTATTTTGTTAGAACTCTAGACACAAGTAACATACCAGGAAATGGAATACTGCATCTTTCTTTAATGTGAGTATGAAAGGTCAGTGTCAAGGCTATCACTCACTGCATAGAAACACCGTATTCTACAGACTGAGGTAGGAACACTACACTAAAAGATAATCTGCTATGTTGCATAAGACAGTAGATATCCAGGTTAAAACCAGCCCCCTATCTCCTGACAGCCTTTTCATCTCTGAGTCTACTTTTCACTCAGTCCTGTGCTAAATAAAGCTTTTCCTGTGTAGATGACAAGTGGCAGTGGCTAGTTGGTTCTAAGTGATCCCTAATTTTTACTAGGATCTCCCTCAGTTTGTCTTGTCACTTGGTAAATAGATGTTTGTAATTCTGCCCAAGTTGTTGCTGGTATGGAAATGATCAGACATTCTTCTTCCATTCTTAGATTCTGGCCGAGTTTTAGCATTTCAACACTTGATCTTGCTCATCTTGGCATCAGATACCTCTTTGCTGGTTGGTTGTTCAAGCACCCTTTATACAAACATCCCCAGTTTTGCCACTGGGAAATGGTCCTGGATCTGTAGCAAGTCAGGAATGGGAGCAGAGCCGGCCCTCTTTCTGCTAACATACTGGTAAGGAGCCGTTTTATTGTCTAGATGGAGTTGGCAAATTATGGCCTATGGTCCAAATTCAGCTCATTATCTATTTTTATAAATTTTTTATTGGAACACAGTCACACTCCTTTGTTTATGTATTACCTGTGGATGGCTGTTTTTGTGCTATGACGGCAGAGTTGAGTAGTTGCTACAGAGTATGGCCCACAAAACCAAACTAAAAAAATATTATCTGGCACTTTACAGAAGTAGTTTGCCAACCCCTAGTCTAGATGAAGGGGCATTTAAAATTACACAATCCACTCCCCCACTCTGTGGCCCCTATTAATTCTATAGCTGTTATACTCTGTACATGGACATGATTCTGCTATTTCAGAGGACAAACTAGGGGAGAGCAAATCTACAAGCGACTCATTCTGTTCTGCATTTGGGGCTGCCCAACATCATAGGAAGTTAGCAGCAGCTCCACTGTTGTGGGGTTCCCAGGTACATGTATACTGACCATCCTTAAATGAGTCCTCAGGCCCCAGATGACTTAGAAATCTCTCCCTGAGATGAAAACAAGATCTTGTGAGTGGTTGTGAAGAGTTTGCAGAGCTTGGGTCTTGGACCCCACACTCACCCTTCCTGTGCTGTTCTTCTGCATGCTTCCACAGCTTCCTTCAGCAAGGATGGCCAATGCTTTCCTACAATTTTTATTTTCCTGATGTGGAGGCTGACCCTAGGGGGCAGTATTTCTACAACTAAGTGTTGGTCTCTACCACATTCACCATTTTTCTTATGTAGGCATCCTTTAGTATGCCTGTTCAAAGAGATTCTTTCCCTGGTCCCTTTCAAGGCTGTTTGTTGATCTTGGAATTCTGTTTTCTGAAGCTTTTCATTCTCAGGATCAGTTTCTTTCTTGCATCGTTTAGTTCATCAGGCTCTATTTTCTTAATCCATAAAGTAAAAACAAAATATGAATTGATAAGAAAATAACATTTCCTGTTAAAATATAAATTGAAATAGTTTTTTTGCGGGGGGTTGTACAAAATAGGTACTGCTTTCTGAATCTCAACAGTTTCTCAAGTACCTTGGCTCTGGTTTCTGTTAAGTACACTCTGTCCAACATTTCTGATAGTCCTATCTCTGGCACCACTGAATTCAACTAACATCTCTGGAACACTATAAAAATCTTGAGGTTCTTCAGAAAAAAAATCACAGAAGTCTAATAAGTTCATTATACAAGACTTATGGTGATGCCCACTAGTATCTATTCTAAGGGGACAGACTTACCCCACCCCTGCTGCTGCTGCTGCTGTAGCGGTGGTCCCTTCAGATGCCCACTCTGCTCAGATTTGAAAAAAACAAAAGGAAAAGAAAATCCAACTCAGACCATCATAAGAAGCAACTTTCCATTTAATCATTCTACATGGATGTTTACTTTTTAAAAAATCTCTGTCTGGCAAGAAAACCTAGATAGTTCCCATTGTCTAGACCCCTTGCCTGCCCTGCTGAGGCTGCACTGATGAGTCTCCTGGAGCCCAGTAGGAAAGCTCCTGCAGAATACAGAAGACAGCAGCTCTCCAGTCTTCAACTAGTGTCCCATCTGCTAGGTGACACTACTGCAATAATCAGTAATAGTAAAATAAATTTTTATTTGATACTTTGAAAATAATACACATCTATGAAAAATCAAAATTCACAACCAAAAATTATCCTGCAAATTGGGAGGATGAGAAACAGAGTCGCTGAGCCTTTCTTGAAAGAACCTCTGAAGTAAATGAGTTTTCCCAGTTTGTTTAGACAGGGCATGAGCCTATCCTTTTTTTCTTCTGGGAAATGACCCTCCTAGGCTGTGGACTTTGAGTCATGAGAGGAGGACTTGGTACATGTGCCGATGGTTCCGCGATGGGTCCCATTGCTGGGAATGGGTAGCCGGGCTCCTTGGTCCACCTGGCTAGTTATTAGGAGGAGTCATGCCTTCTCAGGTGTCAATGAGCAGGCTCACCACTGAGCGGATTTTGCAGGCAAACCATCGCCTGAGGGGACAAAAGTATTGATAGTGGAATTGTTCAAATTCGGGGGTCTGGCGGATATCGCGGAAAAAGGCAATGTCAAGGTCAGACTCGGTAAGGATGATCAGGAGGAGGAGCAAAACAAAGAGGAGTCCCATGGTCACAAGGAGCAAACGGAGCACACTTAAAACAAACTTATTCACCTGTTCCTCCTCTGGCCTGCCGTGCCCCTGACAGAGGGCCCTCAGCTCTCCCCCAAGGGCCTCCACCTCTGCAGCAGTTGGAGTGCTGGCCTCAGACTCCTTCTCCTCTTCGATGCTGCAGGTGGCCCCATTGATCTGCCGGGAAAGCAGCATCAGCTCCAGGCTGTGCTCGGCCACAGGCGTGGGCAGCACACTGTCTGCAGGGCTGTAGGCTTCGTCTGCAATCACAGCGACTCGCTCATTGCTGTCTGCCCGGCTGCTTCTCACGTGAGGCAAGAAGGTGTCCCCATGGGAGGAAGAACGCACTGGTGTGGAATGGGCACTGTCCCGTAGGGACTCCAGGCCTGGAAAGGCAAAAGTAATATGAGTAGGCTTTCTGGGTCCTAGTGTACACTTTGCTGTCTGGTGGAGGCAGCACCCATTCTGTTTTATATGGTTACCAAAATTTTGCAGTGGCCACTGCACTGTTTTGATATATCAGGAAGAGGATAAGAGAAGCAGTAAGACACCAAAGTGGCTGTGGTTGGAAGTTTCTTTTCTTTTTTTCCTTTGTGCTTAGGGTTTTGGCAAGATTTGTTCAAGATTCTGTCTTTCTGGCTTTTGATGTCCTGGGCCTGGTTTTAGCCCCAATTGAAAGACAGCTGAATCACAGACTCCCTAATTCAGAGCTGGGGCCACAGTTCAGGGAGCTCAAGATTCCCTCTTGGGCCGAGGGCCTTGAGAGGCAGAAAGGGGGAGGAGAAGACTATTTTGCTTTACTGGGCCTCATCAAATACTGATTCTGGAACTGTGTTTCCTTCTAACATGCAGCTAGCATGCAGCTTGAACTCATGAGGTCATCTTTTGGTTTCCTGCTGACGGTCTCTTTAGCCTACCTCTTCTAGCTGTCCTGATTTTAGGGAATGTGAAAACACTATCTGCTCTTTGGGAATAGCACTTGGCTAGCTAGCTTTCTTTTCACCTTAGAATGAGCTGGGTCCACAGTAGGCTGACAATTCCTCTATTTTATACACTCCAGAGTACAGAGTGGTCTCTGAGAAGATCTTGTTGGGTAAGGGTGGGAATTTTCTTATATCCACCAGGAGAAAGGGTCCTCTACCCCCTAAAACTACCTATTATCTCTTTACTTTTTTAGATGGAACAGTCTCTCTTTCCAAGGCTCAATCTCTGGTAGTGAAAAACAGGAGCTGGTTACTCTGTCAGCCAAACAGCAGCCATTAGGCTGGAGGATGTGGGCCCAGAGTCACCAAGTATGGCCCACATCACAATGCTTCCAAGGAAATGGCTTCTTGTTTCAGGTTCAATGTCTGCATTTTCCATTCGTGGCTACTCTGAGGTGCCAGAGTGGCTCTGGCTTTCTCTGCCTTTGTAGCCAATGGCAAGAGAAGCCAGTCCCCCTTCCATTGCTCTGAAATTGACCCTGACTGCTGCAGACCGAACCAGATTCCCAGCTCTATAAAGGTTTGACCTAACTAGGGCTGATTAGGGAGTTTTTAAGTTCAGGGCTAACTTCAGAAGCCCAAGGGTCTCTGTTAAAAGGTGGCAGTCACCTTTCAGAAGTAGTGTTTCATTTGGTTCTCTTGTAGTGTAGCCATATGTACCTGGGCAGCCTGCCTGCCTAGCCTGCCGGAACCCATTTTAGCACAGGTACAGTTAAGGATTCTCTCCAGGAACAAATCCTGGAATCTGGGTTATAAATGGGTGGGGTGGACTGGCAACAGCAGCACCCTGCTGTCCACCTATACTCCCTATCACCTCACCCTCAGTATATTTGCTTTAGCTCTCAGCTTCTGTTTTCAGGAGCTCCTCATGATCCTAGTTGTATTTTGTTTTCCCCTGTGCTAAAATCTTAAGTTTGTATAGTGTTTTAAACTTTTTAAAGTGCTTTCATCTTTCTACAAAGTCATGAAGGCAAGAGGTTACAGAGCTTGTCTAGTGACATGTGGTTGGCTGGTAATGGCAAAGGCACAGATAGACTGCAAGTCTCTGTTTCCTGATGCTAATGGATCATATTGTTAGCTTTTGGGCCAAGATGAATTAAGTCTTATAGCCTACATTTGCCTTCAATTTAGGTCCCATTTGCCCAAGAAACTGTTCTGAAATAATGTGAATTAAGAGTGTGCCCCTTGTTCCAGAGCTCTTGATGCTCCTTTGATCTTTTTTCCCGTTTTTCTCCTTTATTCCTGCATTTGCATAAGCAGCATGAGGAATATATACCTGGTAGTATGTAATGAGTCCCTGATAGAACAGAAACCTTTATGCCCTGATCACACATGTATTGGTTCAGGTCCTTTCCCACCCACTCCTCCACCCCCTTTCCCCTGAAACCTCAGCACTCCCAGCACAGCAGTTCTCATACCCTTTCTAGAGGCTGTCCTCTCACAAAGACAACTCTAACAGATCTTCCAAAGCATGACGAGCTTAGCTGCCAGAAGGCACTTCAGTGCAAACTTAGCTTGGCCTCCAATTCAGCCCTAAGCTTGGTGGGGAAGGAGACCGAGGCAAAGCCTATTATATCAGAGAGAAACTACATTATAAGTTATATCAGAGAGAAACTACATTATAATAACTACATTATTACATTACTGATACATTATCAGTAAATAAGATAATGGATACTTATGCATTTCTAATAGATTGCTTGACAGATAAAGTCACTCAGTGTTAGTTTTCTGTTCCCTCAACAGACCTCACTTGCAAAGTTATTATTGCTAGGTCAGGCTAGTCTTGTATAGAACTTTGGGTTCACTAGAAACCACCACCCCTTCATCAAACCCGTTATTCTGGGAAGACAGGGTGGGTACCGTGGGTGGGAGCTGACAGAGGAGTCTTTTACCTTGGATGTGCTCCAGCTGATTGCCTTGCCCAGAGGTGGCTCCCTGTGGGCAGGGGGACACAGTGGTCAGGAGCCTACCCTGGAGCCGGGGCCCCATCCTCAGAATGCGCACACTCAGTGGCCGAAGGCAGTGATTAGTCAACCGGAGCTGAACTCGGACTCTGGTGTGAATCTTAATCAGACTCTTCCCCATGGTGGCCCAGGAAGGCAGATACTTCTTCAGTGGAAACCAGCTGATCTCTTCATGGAAACCAGCCAGTCAGGGGAGATACAGAGGGAAAGGATGGAAGACTGACTGGGGCAAAGCATTTTTGCTGACCTCAAGCCACGGCAGCTCCTTCATAGTGTCTCCTGCGCTGGAGAAGAGAATGTCAGCTCTGTGAGACAGAGCAGGCTGAGCTTCAGGGAAGGAACAGCTCTGAGAGGCCAGCGTTATCAGGGACTGGATTCAGTCAGAAGCACTTAGAGCCATAAAAAGTAATGCTTTCCTAGCATGTGACTGTTTCCCAGAGGCCCGTATAAGGGCCCCAGACTTCTCAGAGAATGCGGTACAAAGAGGGCAGAGAATAGTCTCACAGGGTAGGAAGGATCACATAGTTGCAGAAAATGCAGGATTTGAGGCTGTAAAGACATTGGGCATTGGGTTGGGTGACCTAAAGTGTGAGGTGGCAGCTGTGGGGACGGAAATGGGCTGTATGCTATTTGGCCCCAGCTGCTGAGCTGTGCCCCACAGAGCTCGATGGACAAAAGGAATCAACATACCTGAGCATCCTCTCTGGCTAAGCCTGTGCTAACAACACGTGGTCTCTTGGCATCCCTGAGAGCAGAGGGGAGGGCCAGCCAGTGTACAGTCATCTTTTTAACAGTCCTAGCTTGTTGGAATTACCTGATCTCATTCAAATTGTAGTCTTTTATGTTACTGGTTTTGTTTTTTGGTTTTTTTTTCCCCATTTTTTAGAGATTTCCCCATTGTTTTTAGAGATAACAACCAAAGCTTTCCCCCCTGGAAAAGGCAAATAGTTTCTGTGACATTAATTTATGTGCCATATGGACAATAGGAAAGAGTCCCTGATGGAGCATGAGCCAGTTTCAAAAGTCCATAACGTCCTGGGAGTTTTGGTGGTTAGTGCCCTTCTTCTGAGACCCCCATCATTTCCCTCTCAGCCCTTCCCTGTCTGGTTACTTGTACAGTGGGTGTCAGCTGTGTTTGCTGGGTGCTTTAAAGGTGAAACCCCTCTTGAGAGATGGTATAGCTCAACTCTCTGGGAAATAATCCATTCATTTTATCTCCCCAGGCTTGATAATCCCTGCACTGATAGAGCCACTTAAATGCTAAAAATCTACCCCCCCTCCACCCCATTGCCACACCAGATGTCCATCTGCCTCTCCTCACAGTGTCATTCCTGCTGGGGCAGTTCTTAGGTGCTTCTACTTTTGCCCTCCTGAATCTGATGGGTCCTGGGCTGAGGGCTATGACTGGGGATGAAGGCTGTTCTTGTCTGCAGGCAGCCTCAGGCATGGGGGTGAGCCGCAGGCTGGCTTGCGGGGTGGCACATGGGCGCCTGCTGTGCTATCATCCACCAGGTGTGAAGTTCTATGGGGGCTGAGATTATGAGGGTATGTCCTGCCCCTAGAAGTCTCTTCCTTACTAGCTTCCTTGGTGGCCTTTCCCTGCTGTACCTTCCCCTGGCATAGTACAAGCAAAGAGAACTATTTCAGATGCTAAGGAGCCTACTGCTGCTACAATAGGAGAAGACAGGTTCTGGGAGGATGCCGGAGGCATAGCCAGAACTGGTTGGGAACTGAGGCAGCCTCATAACTTGTCTTGGAAGAGACTCAAGGACTGGTTTCCTGAGTCTCAGTAGTTTTGCTAACCCTGCTTGGCAACTACTACAAATGAGTTGTATCCCCACACGGATAGCCTGTCTTCTCTTTTCTGGGAACATGGGTTTTACTGGACATTCTTCCATATGCTGGAGAACAAATGCGTGAGGCTTCCCTAGACCTGTATTAGTGCCAGCTTCCTCCAGAGGGTGGCCTTTTCTCTGGGAGGACAGCTGTCCTTAACATTTTACAAGAGCTTTGATGTGAACCTGGTGGCTTCCGACCTCAGGGTGGATGGGAAGAAGGGCCACAGGGAGAGGAGAAAGTTATGTTTCCTCAAAAGAGAAGAAATTCATTTTGCTTTCCTGAGATGAACACCCTAAAAGAAGAGGGACAGTGAGCACTATGCTCAGTTCTCCTGCTCAGCCTAACACTGGAAGGAAAACCAGGAGCCTGTGTCTGATGACAGACCTCAGTAACTTCATACTCTGTACAGCAGTTATACTTCATAGCTCAGAAGGCACCCTCCCACACCCACACCCCACTCTACAGTGGGGGCCACAGGCTCAGAGAGGTTGAGCAGTGTGCCCTAGAGAAAGTACATGGCAGAGCTGTTATTTGAATCTCATCTTTGACTTCCTGACCAGGCCTCTTTGCACCGTGCTTGCTGCCTGTCCAATAAATGCTTGAATCTCTTTAAAGTACTTCTATGTACATCACCTTCCTCACAATCCATGGAGTATACAAGGAAGATATCCCTATTTTACAAATAGAACAACCAAGATACTCAAATAATTAAGGCACTTGATTGTGGTTGCCCAGGCAGGGTTCTCAACCCCTAGACTGTAGTTATATACCAGACTTATATAATACAAAGTCAGTGACACACAAAATCCAAAACACAAAGCCATGATCCTCCCAGGGGAGCAGCAGAATGATACCCTTCCTAACCTAAGTAGTTCTTTGTTTTCATTAATCAGCATTCCCACAAAAAGGGCAAAGAGTCTTCCCTCCCCACCTTTCAGGACAGGTTTAAAGTAAACCTGCTGCTCTTTGCTGCTGCTTGAGAGCTTCTGAGGTCCTACAAAAACATCTTTGGGAATGACAGCATTCAACTTTGTACCTGTATCTAGCCTGTGGGGCATCTGAGTCAGTGACAATGAGAGGAATATTCCAGGAGTTTCCTAATGATATTAACGACCTCAGGAGTGGAGAGGTACCAGGTCCAGCTGCTGCAGCATCTGGTTAGTGAAGATTCACAGACTTCATCTCTTCCCTCCCAGGACCCACCTCCTCCAGAGGGAGGGTAAGAGAGAGAGAGGTGGGACATGTGAGATTTCCTGAGATCACGTTAAAGAATTCAGATGGCAAGAGGACAGATTCCCCCACTCCTACCCCCACCCCGCCCCCCGCAATAGAAGGTGGTAGCAGCTATTGCGGTGCTTCAGAACTAGGAGTTTTCATTTCTTGGTTAACTGCCTCAGCCACCCTGATCCTTTAAACTGTGGAGACTAGTCTAATCTGAAACATAAGGGAAAAGCCTCTTAATGGAAAGCAGTTTCAGAACTGCATGGAACCTGTTCGATGCAATAACAGCCTCCCAAAGGTCTGCCCCAACACTCTCAGGCTTAAACCCCCTCTCACACTACAGCTCATCAGGGCTGGGTGGGATTACCCTTCACCTGACACCCAGCTGGGGTACCTAGCCACTGCCTGAAACCTTCTCTCTTCCATTGGAGAAATGTGCTCTGGTCTCTAGTGTAACTTCTTTTCAAAGTCCCTGAGAGGAAGTGGTCCAGGTCAAAATGTAGAGGAACCCCATTGTCATCTGCAGAGCTTACGCTCACCTTCCATGATGGAGATGTGAACAGCTCTTCTGCGGGTTCTGGGGACACTGCTCAGCCTTGGGCCATGGGTTATGGAGGGACAGCTGCGGCTGGGAACCATCCCTGCTCTGAGGTTAAAGAAAAAGAGAACTTTGTTAATTCAGTGCACAGACAGATGTGGTCAGGACACAGAGTTGAGAAAGTAGCTGCTAGAATTGTCTGGCTGTGTTAAGTTTTATTTATTTGTTTAAAAAAGGTCTTTAATACCTGCTTTTTGCCATTAGTTCCCGGATCCCAATCAGAGACACTGCTTTAGATTTGTCTGCCGCCTCACAGGCCAGACCCACCTGCTTTAGTGCGGGAGTGGTACCACTGGTCTCTGGGCAGGTCGGTCAGGGAGTAGAGCCCCAGCATAAGCAGTGCTACAGAAAATGTGCCTGAAAACATATGGCAGCCTCTCTGACTTCTGAGAGACTGCTGGTGGCAAGGATGTGCCATGTGAAGGTGGTAGTAATGCTCCCATTCCCAGAGATCAGGTTGCTTGGTGAACCCTAGCTGTCTTGGCCAGTCATATTCTTTTTGCATCTTACTAGGTTTAGGAGATAAACATGATGTGCAGTTACACATGATGCAAGGATCTCAAAACTATTTTCGACCTAGTGTGATAGGCCTATGGGGCTATCCCTGGCTTTTGGTAATGGACTGATTCCAGAACTAAGGAAATCTTGCATTTTGGACATGTCCTCCATGGTCTGTGACCACCTTCAGGATTTGGGAGGACAGCAGAGAAGTACCCAGGATGTGGTACTGGGTACTACGCCATCCCTCAAGTTCCCTCAAGGCCCAGAGATACCGGGGTCAGACTGTTCCCCATGCCTTTAGCTCCCTGCCGTGTTATCCTTCCCTTTTTGGAGCTTCTGGGATCTGAGCTGGAACTGGTTTTGGGGGAAGTCTGCGGCAGCCTACCTGTGTATTTCTGGTGGCTCCCGTTTGATCTTTGCACTTGACTCCATTACTTCCTTTGCAACTCGGCCACTATAAATAGTATAATAAAACAAGCAGCAAGGGATGAGATGGTATTCTCGCACTGGGCTCCTGTCTAAGGCTTCAGATACTTTTGATGAACTGGGAGATGGCTTCTGGCCTAGCCCTTCCCAATGTTTAGGTCACTGAGAAAGGCTTGCTTGCTGGGTAAGTTCTAAGATGTCCTGACAGCTTATCTTAGAGAGCTCTCTATCTTGAGTCTTTGGGATTTCCCATTGTCCAGCATGTTCCAGAAATATTGCCAAAAAAAAAAAAAGAAAGAAATCTTTAGACAGACATGAAAAGAATCACTGCTACAGTTCTTATTTCACTGCTGTTCTGAGGGCAGAAGAAGATACATATTTAAACCCTCCAGACAAACTGTGGCAGGGAAGGAAAGAAATAGTCGGAAGGACAGGAGATAGGAGAACTGGATGGAAACCTTGGGGTTTTCTGGAGGTTCCCAGTTTCTTTGTTCTCAAGGATAAGGACCACTGAGCCACTGTTCTCCAGAGAAGGGTCTGAAAATAGGTCCATAACAGTTACTTACTGTCACTATTTACCTGTATCGGAACCGGCTCCCTTTAAAGAATAAATTGCTGCTGGACACTGTGCGGACTTGGCTTGACTTCTCCAGCCTGCAGCAAGGCAAAGTCCAGTGTGACAGATGGCCTGCGACTGCCTCATAGGCTAAGGCAGTGCATTCCCATCTCCTTCCAGAGGCTACTTAAGGAAACTCTTAAGGAAAAAGCCCTTCACAGCGCAGCTTGTCTCTGACTCTCCTTCATGACCTGAGAGCTTCCCAAGAGTGCTTTATGGGGTTTACCAGGGGGACTGAGATTAAATGTTAGGGATTGTGGTCTGGGGGAATAACAGAATGCCACTCATCGAAATTTGGGCCACTTGTTAGCAGTGTAACCTGGAGCAAATTTCTTTTTTTCTTGGCTTTGGTCTTCTTATCTATAAAACGATGGACCTGGGACTATTTGACCTCAGGAGTCCCTTCCAGTCCTTGTATTTGATGATACATGTTCATTTCTGGGTAATTGTGAGTTGAGAAGAGAGTACAGGCTGCCCTTCCTATTTCATCCCCCTCCTTGAGAGTCATAAAGTATGTTCTATTAAAGACTCTGAGAAGTCCTGAGATGAACAAACTACGTTAACTTTAATATAAGTTCCATCAGTTATTTAGACTTGTAAGTTATTTGGACAGTAAGCCTATTAACATCACTTTCAAGGCTGTTGTACACAGTTAATGTGGAGGATCTGGAAGGCTGTGGGCACTGTCAAATAGCCTTTTAGGTGACTTCTCTGATCCCAAATGGCCCTCTCACACTTAGAAAAGGAAGCTGGACAGAACTGCCTAGAGTGAAGCCTGCCAAGACCTGATCAGCTTATAAGCCCTGAGGTGCCTGGAGTGCTGATCTGCACAGGGAATCTATCTGGGTCTGAAGCCTCTGCCGTGAGCAGGCCGTCAGTATTTAGGGAGCTATCCCCAAAATCCATGAATAGCAGTTCCTGGGAGATACCATCCCCACCTGTCTCAGGGTTCTGTGAGGCTTTAAGTCTCCTTGTCTTGCCTAAGCGTGTCCTTGAGTTTGACCTGACTGCCTTCAAAGCGTGAGGCCAACGGCAGGGCCAGGGATCTGCACGTGAAAGGTGCTCAGGGTGATGCCAGAGTGGCTGCTGCGAAGACTTGGCACAGTTGGGAAGCTGACCCAGGCTAGAGGCTTTTAACACTTAATAAAGAACATTAAGTAGTCAGTGGAAAGATGAAAAACAGCCTGTTTCCAGTGAGGGTATTGGCAGGACTAGTTGGGTGGGGGGATTTATTAATGGAAAGACTCAGAAACTGAGTTTGGTCACAGGTAAAGAAGCACAGTTCTGTTCCCATTACACAAATAGAAAAAGGTCTTCAGAAATAGTGCAGACATCTTTTCTTGGACAGCTAGGGACTGAACAGGAGGGAAATTTGACCATGCAAAAGTCTTTTCTGAGTGTCGTCTTCATGAGATGAAAGAAGCCCACTCAGGTTATAATTCAGGCTGCCTGTTCAGCTCATCCCTGATTCTGATATCAAGTGTACAGAGATTATCAAGCAGTTCAGAAAGCCTGCCCAAGAAAAAGCTCTGGGAGGCACCTGGGTGGCTCAGTGGGTTAAGCCTCTGCCTTCAGCTCAGGTCATGATCTCAGGGTCCTGGGATCGAGCCCTGCATTGGGCTCTCTGCTCAGCAGGGAGCCTGCTTCCCCCTCTCTCTTTCTGCCTGCTGCTCTGCCTACTTGTGATCTCTCTCTCTCTCTCTCCAAATAAAAAAGAAAGAAAGAAACAGCTCTAGGGCTGTGGCCCTAGAAGGGAAAAGGCCAGTTCTGCCAGCCAGCATCCCATAGCAGCCAGCATGCAGCAGAGTCTTTTCACTGGGAAGGAGAATGGTATCCCTTCCAGCTCAGAGTAGTTCTGCTCTCTTCAGGATCCTTGAGGTTACTGGAGGGAGAACTATGGCCTGTCAGAGGCAGAATATACCACAGACTTTTTCTTAACGTTGTCCTGATTAAGATACAGCTTATTAAAGTACAAATCATTACATTTTCTATTTTTAAAACCAGACCAAGGGTTTTAGTAAAACATACTTTATCTGGCATCACCCCAGTTTCTTGATGGGCTGTTTCTTTGTTCCCTAATGCATTTATAACCACTTTCTTAATCAAAACAGCACAGAAGCCTCATATACTTTACAAATCCTGTGGTAATCAGAATTCTTGCCTTTGGCCCAAAGCTGGCTTTTCAGTAACAGGCAAGTCCTTGCTCCCCTTCCTGCTACCCCGCTCAGGTTCCTGGGCACTTGGTCTGTTACTGGCAGTACTTCTGGCAGTGACACACCAGAAGGCCTGGCATCAGCCCCAGCTCAGCACCAGGCCGTCCACCGGGGAGCAAGCCCCAGAGTCTTTCCAAAGCTTGGAGACATTTCTTGCCTGCCCTGCACCTGCTCCTTCCTGGAGCTATCATATTCTGGGTCTCCTATGGCTCTGAATGGCTCCACACGGCTAGCGTGATTCAAATCAGGTACCCAGGGGCTTTTTAGGCCCAAGGCTTGCCCTGAAAAGACCTCCAAGTGCTTTGCACTGGGAGCTGTCCCAAGGACATCACAAGGTAGACCCCTTGGACATCTCTGCTGGAAACACATTCCTAGACCTCAACCCTGTCCCTCCAAGGAGTACAGACATCCAGAAAGGGGTCTGCATTTTATAAGGAAGCCCAGCCAAGTCCTCTTATGTCTCCTTTCTCAGTGTTTCTCAAACTTTCCTGCCCATCGTTACTCTAAAAGTAGCTTTTATGACTCTGACTCTGATAAAGATAGTCCTCATCACATGTGTCCACTCACTTGTAGAAGGCTTGGTTCTCGATTCCACATTTCCAGAGGTGCTTGCAGGCTTCTGGAGTTGGAGCAAAATATGTGAGAATAATTTTCTTTTCCTACAAAAAATCCCACATAGAAACAGCTGAGTGTGGATGGAGAAGTGAAGGGTAAAATAGGCCAGGACATTGACCCCTGGACTTAAGCCTACCCAGGACTGCAGGCTTTCAGATTTCAGATTGGGAAGGGGCTGCCTGGCAGCTGGCAGGTTGGAAGAGAAGGCCTTCAGGACCCACTGGGGCAGAGCTCAGTTCAGTGAGTAAGTGTACCCTGGCAGGTCCAGTGCAGTAAGCATCAGCTGGCACAAACTGAAGCAAGACGGCTCTCCCCAGGGAAAGTGCTACTTTCATCTGGAGTTTTTTTACTTCTTTTTGAAAGTTTATTATCTTCTTGGAATTTTCATAGAAAAGCAAAAGAGTCTTGCATTGTCTGCATTTCCTGGAGGTATGGAACCTCTGGGCATCACCAGCATCCCTGAGGAATGCCCTTGGGTTCCAGGGCCTAGCCATTTTTCATCCCTCACCGTCAGGTCTTGGCTTACCATTTGGGTGGCTTAGTTCTACCTGGATACACCATTTTGGTTCAGTCCTGGCTTTCACGAACCATTCAGTGCCCCAGCCCTCCCTTAAGAGAAAGAAACCAGCACTCACCTCTTTCTGACTTACGTATAGATAGAAAGTCTTTCCTTCAAATTTCAGCTTGGTCACCTCGTTCCTACAAGCACAAAGAGAGCACCTGTCACCTTGTTGTGACTGCTTGTTCACAGCTAAGTCTTGTAGATGCACAGCCCACCCTGACTGGAAGGGGCTCCAGGCACAGACACAGTTTTAGCCAAAATTAGAACTGAAACAAGACAGCAGCGCAGGGGCCTTAGAGAACAGTTGCTGAAACAGTTCAATCCACAGTTTTCTGGTCAATCACACTATAATAATAGGGTGATAGGAGGATTTCGGGCTCATCAACAGTGGCTGTAAAAGGGAAACGTTTGCATGGGAAGTGAGTCTAGCTTGAGTGGTCCCGGGCCATTTCAGGATTTGGTTCATAAAAACAGGTGCATTGTCTGGATGGGACTGTCAAATGTAAGATGCCACAGGTAGCTGATGAGGCCAAAGTTCAAGATACAGCGAATAATGAAAAACAATGCAACCAGGTTCTGAGGGAGTTGAGTCTTTCAGGTGACTGTGCCACTGGATGGAAAATGCACTTTAATGCAAACAAATGTCAAACGATCTCAGGGAGGGGGCGGGGCAACATACCAAAGAGAGAGAACAGATTACATGGAACAGTCATGCAGCGTACTGACCAGGAAAGGGGCTTAGGGGTTTTTGTAGAAAAATCCTTGAAGCCACCAGCCCAGTGAATGGCTGCAGTAAAAGAGGCAAACAGGATACTGGGGTACGTCACCCGCGGGACAGACACAAATCAGAAGTGACATGGTTACTGTACATGGCACAGCTTAGACCTCACCTTCACATACTGCTCTCAGCCTTGGTTACATTTACAAAATGGAAAAATGACCGGGGTCTTAGGTGGATGTCCCTGAGAGCCAGAGAACTAGGCCTCAGCATCGGTCGACCACTCCTTACTTCTCTTCCATTTGCCTGACACAGCTGCCCTTTGGATCCTGAAGGCCCTTCCATCTCACCAGGGGCGGAGTCCTTATTTTGGTACCCAGCTGGGGCCCCCAAGGAGGTCAGACCATGCCTATCTGCCTCTACTTGACTTTCTTCCTCTTGGTAATCTCTAGGGAGATTTTCTCAATATCCTAGGAAGTAGCAAAAAGGTAGTGAGAACCATGTACCTGATTTACTACTGGCCAAAATTCAGGAGACAGAGGAAAGACACCTGTTTCCTAGAAATCATGGCTGGGTCAGGATGAGAGCTCATAATTTCTGACTTCCAGTTCTGAGCTAATCCAAGCATGCGGTATTCCTTATTTGAGTCCCTCCCAGTCAGTCAGTCTCTCTCATACACATTCAGAATACAGTAAATATTAGTTAATATGTAAACAAATACGCTGATCATCCAGGCTTCAACAAGCAAGATAGGAAAGTAAGGAGCATTCTTTTGGAAGTGAGGTTAGGTTTACATCTATTTTTTAAAAATTGAGACAGTGAAAAAGAGACTTCCTGAAGAAGTGGAATGTGAGAGAAGACAGAGAATGAAGTGTTGGGGAGAATCAGGTGAGCATCAGGATTTCTGGTTGGGGAAGGATACTTTGTACTGCAGGGCCCTGTAATAGGTGTGTTCTACTTTTTTCTAGCTACACATGCCCTCTACCAGGGACCTCACAGCTACCCTGGTTGGAGTACAGGACAGGATCTGGGTCCTTTAAGCAGTAGCAGACCATCCAGCTATATCCAGGAAGCCAGTCCTCCTCACTGGAAGAGCAGTGGCCTGACCCTACTCATTATCTTTTTCTGAAAAATATTTTGTTGGAAAAGAGACCCCAAACCCTCACCATTGTCATTCAGAGAGCACCATGAGTGGGCCAACTTCAGAAGGCCTAGCAAAGCACTGTTTGGGGCATGCCCTGGTTACTCAGTGTGGCAATCTGCCTTGTGAAGTGGCCGTTTTCCTGGGGGACGGGTCCTGGCTGGGGGTGTCGGTGGGGGCGGGGGGGGCAGTCTCATTAGCACCCTGGTTGATGCTCCTATTGCCAGTCTGCACAAGAGCAGCGGGGTTGGAAAGGTGGTGTTTATCCACAAGCTCACTCAGGGAGCTGAAGAGGACACAAGAAGAGAGATGCCCTGCAGCACCCCCGGCAGAAAGCTCGCCAGGAAACAGCTTTGTCCTCAGATTCCCCATCAGCTCTTCTGGAGAAGGCAAAGGAACCAAGACAGGAGCAAGCTTTCCCAGCTGAGCTCTGTTGGGCAAGGTAAGCCATTTGTCCAAGCCCAGGGGAGGAGTTGGCCAGCTTAGACTTGGCAGTCTAAGGCCAAAAAGGTACAGAAATCACAGGGCCTTTAGTAGAATATACACCATGTTCTGATGAGGCTGAAAGATGTTTGCAGGCCAGAAAAAGGAGCTCCAGGAGAGCCAAAAGTCCATCAATAAGGCAATCTGTGCTGCATCAGCTCCCAGAACCATCTAGAACAGACCCCAAACTGACAGGGTAGAGAGGAAGCAGTTCAGATTAGCTTCAGCTGAGGGAGTGGCTCTTGCCTGCTAGAAATGGGAGTGGGAGGCGGGAGGGGGGGAAATAGGGGATGTGACTCCTGGGGCGTGAAGGCACCTGAGCCCTAAGAAAGGATAGGAGAGAGACCGAACAGCATCTGTGTGTGCAGACAGTGCCCATAGTGGGGGTCAACCTGAGGAGGGGGTTTTGCCAAAGCTGCAGCATAACTTCTATCTACCCCAAGGGTGAGCCCCTCTTTCCTTAGGCCAGTGGGTAAGGGAATAAGCAGTCGTGTTCATGCTGTAGTCCTCAGTGGGGTATAGTCCCAAGGACACAGTTCTCATAGGATCTCTGCTTCTTTAACATTGGCTCCAGCCCCGGGTCTCTCACCTTGCCCAGAAATCAACCCTCTACATTCTTTCTCTCTCTGGAGAGGCTGTTGGCTCTCAGGAACACCCCTTTGGAAGAACAGGATTCCTAGGAAGAGACCACTACCTTGATCAGTTATCATTATGGATGTAAGGCTTTGAGGGCGCTCAGAACCATAACTGCCCAATCACAGACAAAGGACATGGGAACCATAGCCCTCCCCAGCTGGTGATGTATAAAAAGCCTGTTTTGGAAATGAAGACACTCACCATTTAATGAAGTGGACCCTCTTGTTTCCTTGCAGAACAACAAACCCAAAAGGAGTGAAGGCCAGAAATGCAGCGTTTCCTGACACGTCCTGCAATACAGAAGGACCTTTCATCAGGGTGATGCAGGCATAGAGGTGAAAGGGTGAGACGCAGCTGTTCATTGGTGACGCAGGGTTAATATGTGGCAGTAGGTCACAGGGCGAAGAGCATTTGGAGGTAACAGGCAAGCTATTTACCTTCCCCAAGCCCCAGGGCCCTTAGCTGTAAGTTGTAACCAATCTTAGAAGGCTGTTGTGAACATCCAGAGAAAATGGCACACCCTCCCACACTGCTGGTGGGTCACTTCAGGAAGCAGTTTGGAAGTTCTTCAAGTTGTTAAATATAGTTATTACATGACCCAGCATTGCATTTCTAGGTACCCAAGAAAACAGAAAGCACGTGTTCACATAGAAACTTGTACATGAAGTTCATAGCAGGATTATTCGTAACAGCCAAAAAGTGGGAATAATCCAAATGTGCATCAGCTGACAAATAAACACAGTGCGGTACATCCGTACAGTGGGCTGTTACTCAGCAGTAAAAAGGCATGAGCAGTGACACATGCTATCACATGGATGAACCTCGAAACCATTATGCTAAGTGAAAGAAGCCAGTTACAGAAGATCACACGTTGTATGATTCCATGTGTATGGAATGTCCAGAATAGGTAAATCCATAGAGACGAAAGATTACTGGTTGCCAGGGCTGTGGGGAAGGGGAGATGGGGAGTGACAGCTAATAGATGCAGAACTCTGTTACTAAGACTACTGAATTTCACACTTTAAAAGTATGAATTTTATGATATGTGAACTATACCTCAAAAAAGCTGTTACCAGAGAGAAAGAGAGTGAATGGCAGTTATTATTATAATGGCCCTACACACCGTAGCTGCAGAAAATGTAAGAAGCAACCAGCTAAGTGGAATAGCCACCATCAGTCTTACGGTGCCTGAACCATCAAAGAGGCCTCCTGGCCACTGGTCACTATTAGTTTGTCAATACCAGGCTTGAGGTTCTGCTGAGAAAACCCAGGAGTGGGTACAGCAGAAGCTGTAGGTCATGGCTCCCTCTCGTGGGAAAATGACCTCCCTGAGAGCCAGGCTGGGGTAGAGCACAGAAAGTAGGTTGACCGATTGTGCTCTCATAGAGGCCTCAGGTGAAAGACTGTTCTCTTAGGGGGTGTGTGCAAGTGGCCAGAAAATTATCCCAGGATGCTGGTCAAATGTACATGTAGCCCATTGTCTGAGCCGTAGCTCACATGGTGCTGTGGGGTCAGGGTCAGGCATCTGGTGTGAGGCATTCAAGTGGGGGCTCTGGCTGTCAGGCTCTTCTAGTCTCTTCCACTTGCAGGGTTTGCCTCCTTGGCACACATCTTCAGCCTGATTAGGTCTAAGAATAAGAACAGTGGGGCCACTGCTGGGCCTTGTGAGCCTTGCCTCAAGGAAAAAATGCAGTTTTGTCTTAAAACTATCTCTTAGAGTCAGGGTCACAGGTGTGAGCCTCTGGGCCTAGCGAATGAACTATATGTTTTGCAAACAATTCCAATTAATCTATTGCTTTTATTGTCCTTTCCTTAGGGTCTTTCGTGATTCTGACACTTGGCCACAAACATTGTGTCCTTCAACCCAGGGGCAGTAGCAAAAAGCTGTTTAAAAATAACCTAAATGGAGATACTGTGAAGCCATGGGGCTGATTTTCCTCCTGCCTGTCATCAGTGCTTAGTGGTGGTTATTAATACCTGAGCGCCGGCGCCGCACAAAGGCATGGTCCCTGGCAGCGGCACCAGTGCTAACCTAGCAGCCTGGCCTCTGGGAGTGAGGAGAATGCCTGGCAGACATGGGTGAGGGAGGGCAGCCTGCTTTGGATGGAGGGTGGGCACTGGGAGGCCTTCTGCTCACAGTGCAGGCAGGACCCAAGGAAGTCCAGAAACTGCACATTCAGAAAGTGACTTGAGGGTGGAAACCTTACCTTATTTGTACTCACAGAACAGGCCTGTAGGAAATGTTTATCTGATGAATGTGTAAGACAGTGAGGTGGGCCAGAGGGACCAGGGGGAGTACAAATGAACAAAAACAAGAGGGGAAGGCATCTTACAGTGTTCTGAGAGGAAGGCCTAGAAAGAATAGGTAGAAGGATGGAAAGGAAGGGTCAGTCAGCAGAAGATTGTGGGTGGCTAGAAATTATGGGTAAAGAGTAGGGAAGGGGAGCAGCGGAGTGGGCAGGGAGTCAGGGAAGGGCTTCTGTCTGTTTTTTGCACCACTGACCTCCGTGGGGAACAGCAGGACAAAAGAGTGCCTGCACTGTGACCATAGTGTCATGGGCCCCATGGGGACCACTCAGGCCCATGCTCTGACTCTACCACTCACTGTCCGTGTGACCTCAGCTAGGTCCCATGCTTTCTCTGTGTTTCAGACTCCTTGTTGCAAAATTAGGGTTGATAATACTATGTACCTCTCAGGTTGTGCTTAGCAGACTCCCAGGACATGCTAGTGGTTGTGTTAGTATGAGTCTATTGAGCTTAATACAAAATACTTTTTAAAAAAAAAAAGCCGGTGTTTGGGGCACCTGTGTGGCTCAGTTGTTAAGCGTCTGCCTTCGGCTTAGGTCATGATCCCAGGGTCCTGGGATTGAGCCCCACATGGGGTTCCCTGCTTCTCCTTCCCCCACTCCCTCTGCTTGTGTTCCTTCTCTCGCTGTGTCTCTGTCAAATAAATAAATAAAATCTAAAATAAAATAAAAACTGTAGTGTTTACTATTTTTCCTGATGTTGACAGATTTAAATATTGCTAGTTAGGAAATGAGGGTGTGGGAAGTTGGGGTAGAAAGGGAGAAGTCAGTCATTGTTAGGGTCCCGTGGAGAAGGGGGATTTGGGCTCAAAGTGAAGTGGGCAAAAGGGGAAGGAGACAGAGGCTGTGACAGAGGTCTGTGAGAGTCGTTCCGGTGACAGGTGCCTCTGGCCACAGCACAGAGAAGAGCAGGTCCTCCCACAAGCTGGGCAGCACTGGCTGGGCTGTCTGCTGGCACTGTGATCTGCACTGTCCAGACACCTCAGGGCTGGCCTCTGGGTGAAGGCAGGTGCTTGGGTTAAGGGGAACAGCCTCTCCGGACCAGACTAGACTGACTGATTTAGAACAGGAAGCAAACTGGGAATAAACCCCAATTAGATGCCACATCATTCGAGTAAGGAATAGTAGCACCTTGAGCAATCCCAGTCCAGTCCGTCACACAAGAGATACTTTCTCCAAACTGTTTCCAATGCAACAGTTGTGGATGAAGGCTCCTGCAAAGCCCGGCACCTGGGAGTCCACAGGGGTGAGGGCAGCTGGAATGTTTGCCCCTTGTCTCTTGCACGTGAGGAGCAGGACTTATAATGACAGCGAGAAGCCTCACATCTGCACCACCAAAAAACCTAACAGGCAGCCATGCTGACACCTTCTCCAGAACCTTCCCGGTTTCTTCCATCTAACATGTGAGCCTGCCCTTGGGATTTGTGTGCAAAAGGACAAGTTATATGACAAAAAGAGAAAGAAATGAGGATGAGGAGAGAAGTGATACGGAAAGTGGTAACCTGTTCCTCGGATCTTCCATTCTGTTAAGCCGAAGGTGGTCTTTCCTTTCCGTCCCCTTCCCATCCTGATGAGATCAGTACCCACAAGACTGAGCATTAATGGATCTGAGAGGTGGAATAAAAAACTCAAGTCTTAGGGGCCACACGGCATATATTACTAACCCCACTCTGCATCAGATAATGGTCTAAAGTATTTAGTTCACTTCTATAGTTGTGAGGTACAAGATCTGTTTTCCATTCTTCATCCTTGTGGAAAGAGCTCATTCTTGGTTTAGGATGGTAATCCTGCTTCTTATTTGCTCTGTGACTTACTTAACTTCTCTGAACCTCAGTTTCTTCATTCGTCAAATGAGGACCATAAGATATACTTAAAGAAATACTACTTCTATGTGATTTTAGGGTGATGGCCTAAATGATTTATTGCCAAGACATGGCCAATCATGTTTTTCCTTGGAGGGGGCTGGATTTGCACAGAGTACTTCATATGTTCATGTAGAAACCACCATCAAACTCGACTGCATCAGTTTGACATCATCAAAGGTCCACCTTAAGATGATCACTCTGCCTAGAAAAAGATTTTTGGAAATCACCACACTGGTTCTGAGAAGTAGGGACGTCTGGCCACCATTGCCCAATCCCCACGGGTTCCACCTCTGGATACAATGAAGTACACTTCTGTCTGCTGCCGCCCCAGAGGACATCCTGGGTATGCCAGAGTCAGAACCTGGGTATTCTTTCAAGGTAACCACTCCCCTCTCTGGAGCAGGACTTCAACTAATTCGGTATGGGTGAATGAAACCTGTTTTCAAAAACCTTAGGGAAGGGGTGCTTGGGTGGCTCAGTTGGTTAAGCATCCGACTCTTGATTTCGGCTTAGGTCATGACCTCAGGGTCATGGAGATTGGGCCCTGCGTCAGGCCCAGTGCCCGGTGGGGAGTCTGCTTGGGATTCTCTCTCCCTCTGCCTCTGGCCCTTCCTCTGCTCACATGCATGCTCTATCTAAAATAAATACATCTTTAAAAAAAAAAAAAGACCTTAGGGAAGATTACACATGCTCTTCCACATGTTTATGCCCATCCCTGAAAGCTCATAGCTAGGAACCTTTAGATTAAGTCAATCACGAAAATCACCCAGTTTCGATATACTTAAATATGGTCACAAGAAAGTAGAGTGGAAGTTAGGAGGCAACCCTGTAAGAGCCTTGGCATCACCCCATTAAAGATCAGAAATTGAAATCTTGGCACATACTTGCCATCTAAGTGGCTTTAGTCAAGTTCTTCATCTCAGCAGTAAACCTACCACTCTCCCCACAGTGCAGCCCGGAGGGGCCCACCTGGGGATGAGGGCCAGTCATCACTGATCCTTCTTTTTTTTTTTTTAATTGCTGATCCTTGTTCTGTTTCTCTGAGGTCAGGGGCAACTTGTCAAGATGGGGAAGGGGGTTTATTTAGAAAGGAGCATAGGTGGCTGATTATGAAAGGTCAGAGGAATGACAATTTTATTTGTATGTTTCTCTAACCTAGATCTTCTGAAATCAGTTTTCTCCTATATAGAACAGACATAAAGCCACTTAGTGAACTTACATTAAATTTTTCTGATTTCAGTGGTGCTATCAGTTCTCTCTATCAGAATTCATAGTGAGTCTCCTTTGTTCCTAAATAAATGCCATCTCCCCAGAAGAAAGACTAGAAATGGTAACTGAAAACGTACAGAATTGAGACCCAGGCAAGACCGGGTTTGAGTTCCTTACCAGTAACTCTGGACATGTTAGTTGGTCTCTCAGAGGCTCAGTGTTTTTTAGATTTTACTTATTTGAGAGAGAGCTTGAGAGAGAGATCATAAGCAGGGGAGTAGGTAGAGGGAGAAGCAGACTCCTTGCTAAGCTGGTGAAGAAACCTGGGATCATGACCTGATTCAAAGGCAGACGCTTAACCGCCTGAGTCACCTGTGCACCCAGGCTCGGTGTTCTTATCTCAAAATGAGGACAAGAACATGTTCTTGGCAGTGTTCTAAAGATTAAATGAGATAGTGTATGTAAGTGCCTGGCATGTGCAAGCTCTCAATAAATGGCACTTTCATGACTCATCATAGGGCTGGGTACAGGATGGGTACCTGTGATGGGTCTGACCACTCCATAAACCTCAGCAGGGCAAGAGGCCACAGTCTGGGCCTCCGGGAGATGCAGGACCAACAACCAGTCCCAGGGCCCCCTGGAAGGAACAAGATGGTAGCTCCTGAGGTTGCAGAGGTGTCAGAGTTGGGAAGTAGATGCAGCACTGGGCTGCCAGTGGTTCGCTTCCAGCAGCCGTAGGCTTTGGAGATGGGGGCTGAGGGGTGATGCCGAGAGCTCAGGAGAGCTTGTGCAAGTTCAGAGCCTGGGTGTTCTTGTAACACAGCCAGCTGCCGGAGCCCTCTGGCTGTCCCACCCAGAGTTGGTAGGATCTCTTCCTCGTCCCAGGGCCAGACAAGGACACTCTGGGCAGAGAGAAACCATCAGTGTGGACAAGAACAACAGCAGCTTCTTAATCAGTCCAGGAGAACGGAGCTCCGCTGAAGTGTTGTTCTGCTCTCATTTAATTATCAAAACGATTCCTCTTCTTCTGTCCTCCCTAGGGCTGCATGCCCCAGATTCCCCGGGCCCAGTAATTGCCTCTCTGTTAATAGAAATCATCGGTATTTATTACACCGAGTGCTCCAGCTTATTTCAGCTCTCCTTGTAGCAACATTAAGGCGAGTGCTTGGGAGCATATCACCAAAGTAACCCTACTTAATGACAAGAGTAAATGCTCCTGAACTGTCCTTGCTCAGGAGGGCCGAGGAAACCACGATCTGGAGCCCGATGAGATGAGCTGAGGGGCCATATGTGGGGTCCGCAGCAGCGCCCTGACTCTGGGGGAGTAAGAAGTACAGGGCCTGGGAACAAGGGACTGGAAGAACAGTAAGATGACTGCTCCCACCTTCCCCTAGAGGGAGTCTCCTGGGGGATTCTGTTCCGTACAGATACATAGCAATGGGGAGTGGCTTGAGTTCAAATTCTTGGTCTACTACTCAGGGCCTTGTAAACTGTGGCCTCCCAGAACTTTAATCTTCTTACCTATAAAACTGGAAGAGTAAAATCCACTTCTCAAGGCTGGCATGAGGATTAAATGAGAAAATAATGCAAAAGGATTCCAGTGGGCCTGCTGCCATAGAATGCATGCCACAAATTTGTCTTCTCTCCTTCCTTCTAGGAGTTGATGAAATGAGGTACTGGGCCTCACACAGTGCCTGATACGAATAGGGGGTTCCTTTCTGCAGCCTCTTCAGCCTCTGTGTCCAATAAGGACAAACTCATCAAGGATGGGTCTGGGCCAGGAGCCTTCCAGCCTCAGGTTCATGTGGATCTGGGCTAGACACCAGGCTGGCTGCCCCTGTAGCTTCCAGACCCACACAGGCAACAGCGGAGAATCCTTACCCACCTCCACTCGGTTGTGCTCAGGTTCACTGTCCACCATCTGTCTTGGAGGTGACCCGGCACCTTAGGATGAAGATCGCTATCTCTAGGCAGCTGTGTCTTTTAAGGTCCTGAAGTGACTCAGCAGTTCGTGGAGTACAGTCACTGAGTACCTTCTGTGTACTTTCACACAGATGAGGAAAGCAAGACTCAGGCCTACAAAGGCCTCAGAAAGCCGGAGATCAGAGCTGAAGATAGGCCAGCTGACTCTGAAGCTCTTTTCAGTCCTATGCAGTCTCCCTGTGGATAGTATCTGAGCAATTCATGGTTGGATCTGTCTTGTCATGCAAGGGCATTTGCTAGTTCATTTGTAAATAACCGTACATCAGTTTTTTTTTTTGTTGTTTTTTTAATACTAACAGGAATGAATATATTTTCTGACAGCACTGGCTCCCAGGAACGCAAGGGTTATCTGGCAGTGGGTTGTGCTGGTGGATAGGGAACTGTGTGGGGTGGGAAAGGTGACCAGGGTTGCTGAGTGCCAGAATGTTCTCAAAGTTCATATTTGAAGTTTCAGCATCAAATTCTATGTAAGAAGAAATAACTATCACCTCACCAAGAAGCCACGGGAAATGCAACTCTGCCCCTACATTACCATGTTCCTTGCTTTCTACTGTTTTTTTTTTTTTTTTTAAAGATTTACTAATTTATTTGAGGAGGGGGCAGAGAGAGAGGGAGAGAACCTCAACAGACTCCTTGCTGAGCATGGAGCCTGAGACGGGGCTCAATCCCATGACCCTGAGATCACAACCTGAGCCGAAATCAAGAGTTGATCACTTAACTGTGCCACCGAGTTCTTTTAATTTTTGTTGGAAACTTACGGTGTCCCCTCATTAGGAAGAAAAAAGGTCAGTGTCCTCTCGTTCCCATATGATACTGGCTCCCTCAGTTCAAATTGAGAATCAGCTTTACTGGCAGTACTGGTTTCCAGTATTAGAAAGAGAGAGGCAAAAGCTGGAGAAACTGAGGCAGAGACCAGGAGTGTGAAAGCAACTGAGATGTGGAGGTGAAGTGGAGGGAAACAGCTGCAGAGAGAGGGGAAGAAGCCGTGTGTCTCCACTGCTGTCCACATTGACTGTGGCTGCTTGAGCTCTTCTCCAAAATGCCAGACACACGCTAGCAATTACAGAGGTTTCCTCTGGGCAGAGCCTCCTGGGCTGGTTCCCCGTCTCACCCTCCCCAGCGCATAATGGAATTAAATGCGACTCCGAGGCAGTTCCTCGCAGTGGCTTAACGCTGCAGCAGTCAATAAAACCCGCTCTTGGAAAGAAAAGAGATTACAGGTCAGGGAAGGGTGGGCGGTCCTGGGGCGGCCTCTGATCGTTCCCTGTGGGGGGCCTTTCCCATTCCTGGCTTGGTTTCCACAAAATAACCTACTGCTGCCACAGTGGGGCCCCGGCTTTGGGTTTGTTATTTAGATTGACTTGGCCTTGGACACTCTGAGGTTGATGTGCCACCACAAAATTATGCAGCGTGGAAGCCAGAAGGTTTTTCTCTGGCCTCTGTCACTGAAAGAACCGGCTAACCACATACTGAAGGTGGAAGGCGTAGGCACATGCTCCTTCCCTGCCTGTCAGCCTTTGGAGAAGGCAAGGTCAGTGCAGTCTCCCGACTATGGGGGTCTTACCTTACATGGGTGAGGGTCCACTCCATAGGTCTCCAATGTCTGTGCTTTTCTTAAAAAGTTCAGCTCTGATGTTGCTGGTGTTTGACCACTGGAATAAAGAAAATGAGATGATTTCAGGGTTTCCTGTTCTCACAGACTCCCCTGAGGTAAACTCCCCATGAAGAAGCTTTCAGGGGCTGGCTCCGTCAGTTAAGTGTCTGACTCTTGATTTCAGCTCAGGTCATGAGCTTGTGAGATCAAGCCCTAGTGTTGGGCTCTGTGCTCAGCGAGGAGTCTGCCTGAAAGATTCTTGGCCTCTGCGCCTACCTACTGAGCTCACTCAGGCTTTTTTTCTTTAAAAAGTATATATATATATATATATATATATATATATATATTCATTCATTCATTCATTCATTTATTTATTTCAGGGTAAGTCTTACACTCCAGTTTTTCATAGAGTGTGCTCCCTGCCCTGTTCAGGACCAACTTCCGAGACTCCTGTCTAGGGTAAAAAAACTCAGATGTCTTCAGACCGAGGCTGACTACATAATGAATGCCGTGGGCCGAGTGCAGACAGGAGGGAGTGGTGGGGAGACTACGGCAGACTGGAGAGGGCTACCTCATTGAATGAGGGCAGCTGCTCCTGAGCTCCAAGACTAGTCCTGTGGGGATGCAAGGCCCAGCGCTACTAGAGGTTAAAAGCACTGCTTTTAGAAGGGAAGTCAGAGATACTGATTTTTTATGTGCTATTTCACAACAATTTCAAGTACTATGGAAGCAAACAAAACACACTTGTAGCCTGCCTGCAGGCCATGGGTATCTTGTCTGTGATCTGATCTCGACTGAAATACATAGGAAGGGCCTCTATATCTTGCTGTTGCTGCCACCCCTTTTCCTTTACCAAAAGGGAACATGGGAATGGAGGGTGAAGAGACAGCAGGAGACAATGCTGAGCTCCCCAGACGCCACAGTAGCTCTGTTTGTCCACAGGGTGATGACTATGAAAAGGAAACAATCAGGAAAAGGAAGAAAGCACCCTAGTGCCAAGCCATCTGAGGAGAGGGCCTTTGGCATCATTCCCTTCAGAGATGCCTGGAATCTGGTGCTTTCCTGAGCCCCACATAGAACCAGTGGCAGTGTCCCCTCGGTGCCATCAGGGTCCAGAGCCCTTGTGAAGCAGACATACTCCTATGGACGTTGGGTCAGTTTCACTGCAAGGAAGGGCAGATTTGTCAAGTCAACAACTCTGATGGCTGGTGGGCAGGACTGGAAGTTGCTGATTTCTAAGGTCATTATTTGTCCCAAGTCATATGGTGTGTAGGAAGACAAGGCAGAGCAGGCAGAAGCAGGCCAGATTCCTGCTAGTGTCCCTTTGGAGAGATATCAATCAGCACATTTCTGTGCCAGCCTCCATGCTGCTTGCTGTAAAATCTACCAAGAAATAAAGTGCACAGTCTGGGCCCTCCAGGAACTCAGGTTAGAGCTGGAGGAAGGAAATAGACACATTTTTAATAAGGAAGATGAGGCCAACCTGCGCAAGCAGGCATTATGTTGACTGCAGATTTCTACACCAGCAGACCTGTGGCATGAAGAAGGTGTTTGGGAAATGTCTGTGTGGCAGGCAAAAGGCTGGACTCCAGAGGCAGCTGAGCACCACTGCCCCGTCCAGGGAGCTTCCTCATTCCCATTCTGGAAGCTGGGGGGTCTTGTGGGCTTCATTCATTCCAGGAGTTGGCCCAAGCCTCCAGGGCCCTCAAAGTGGCCATCATTTCCCTGTCACCTACTAGGTTTCTGGATGACTGTCCCCACTGCTCTGACATCAAAAACCCTCCTGTCAGTGCCTCTGGCTGTCCTAGCACATCCCTGATCTCTGCTTTGAATGAACCATGAAAGGTCCATGTGTATTCCGACCTTTACCACAAGGGGCCGCTATTTCCCTAACAGAGTGATGGGAGGAGCCGGCCTGCTCAAGAAAGACCACACCAGCCCTTGGACAGTTATGAGGAGTCGCTAGGATTCCACCTCTGAAAGGTGTCTCCATTCTCCTGGGAGAGTGGGAGCCAATGCAATATTAAGTTGAAGCTTAATATTAACATTAAAAATATGGGACGCCTGGGTGGCTCAGTTGGTTAAGCAGCTGCCTTCAGCTCAGGTCATGATCCCAGTGTCCTGGGATCGAGTCCCACATCAGGCTCCTTGCTCGGCAGGGAGCCTGCTTCTCCCTCTGCCTCTGCCTGCCACTCTGTCTGCCTGTGCTTGCTCTCTCTCTCTCTCTCTGACAAATAAATTTAAAAAAATAAAATAAATAAATAAAATAAAAATATCTCCCCCCGCCCTTGGGCATTAACCTGCCCCAGGAAGGTGGTTAAGCAAACATTCAATAAAATTTTTAAAAAAATTGTAACATACTAATATGATGGCATGTTTTATTTTACAGCAGTGCATTGTATATAGCCTTTTTCTCCATAGTTTTATCAGTTTGGGGTATATGTGCTCCAGCATACCACACAAAGTGGAGTGCTTACACAATACTGGTTTAAAAAAAAAAAAAATTAGGGCACCTTGGGTGGCTCAGTTGGTTGGGCAACTGCTTTTGGCTCAGGTCATGATCCTGGGGTCCTGGGATCAAGTCCCACATCGGGCTCCTTGCTCAGTGGGGAGCCTGCTTCTCCCTCTCCCACTGCCTATCATTCCCCCTGTTGTGCACACTCACTCTCTCTCTGTCAAATAAATAAAATCTTAAAACTTTTTTTATAGTTTTTATTTTTTTAAAGATTTATTTATTTTAGAGAGAGTGCACGTGTGAGGGGGGAGGGGCAGAAGGGGAGAGGGAGAGAAGCAGACTCCCCTGCTGCAGGTGGAGCCCAACATGGGGCTTGATCTCATGACCCTGAGGTCATGACCTGAGCTCAGATCAAGAGTGGAACACTTAACCTACTGAGCCACCCAGGCTCTATTGTGGTGGTGGTGGTGGTGTTTTAAATCAATCTTTGCAGAAAATCCTATATATATGGATGAAATACATTAATACTATTTAATGGAATTTGGCATATTCTGGGCAAACTAAGAATCTTCTGTGTAGGGCTGTGGGTTGAGTGAGGCAATACTGAAGACATAGCCCCTGAACCGCATGCTCTCAGGGTACCCCTAGCATATATCAACCAGGCCAGCCCTGTGCCGTACCATCCACTGACCCAGAAGCCATCTGTCATGCTGCCACAGACTGAAGGTAGAGGCTTGCCCATTTTCGCATGCCTCCTCTCATCTGTTTTCTGTGTTTTTCTTTTCCTTTTCCCTAGCCCATGCTTCTTCCCTCTCTCTCTTCATTTATCTTGGTGAAGCAGATCCCTTTCAGAGGCCAATCCTGCTCTGCTTTCCTTGTACTATAATGACAGTGTTGCCCTCAAGCCTCAGCCTGCACTACAGGGCTTGGGCTCGTGCTGTCAGTGGAATACTGAAAACGGCACATCCCAGAGTCAGGAGGACTGGGTATGTGGGCGTGGAGGCTGCAACACAGGACTTGTGTGTCCAGGCTTTGTGTCTTTGTGTCAGGACACTGTGTCCTAAGCCTGAATAAGTGTCACCTACCTGAGTTCTGTCTTGTGAATCTCGGCAATCTTCCTTTCCAGCTTCTCTGAATGTTTTGGGAAAAACTGGAACTTGGAGCTATAGCCTTCAGGGTGTTTCCCTGGGTCATAATCCCCAATCTCCGCTTGCAAAAGTAGAGTAAAAACAGTTGTGGAGATAGGTAAATCATCACTGGTAAACAACAAGAAATTAACACACAGCGCAAAGGCAAAGCACACACCAAATTTCTAAGGAACAATGGGTCTTGAGCGTGGAGGTGGGGCAGGCAGAGGAGAGGGCAGCCCGTCAGAGGCATGCCTACCTTTGTTTGCCCAGGTGTGCACTGGGGGTTGCTGTCAAGCCTAAGCTAGAGACACTAGAGCCAAGCCTGTGTTCTGTGGTCACCACAAGTAAATACCCAATAAAAGAGCAGAAGGCCGTATCACGGTCTTTATCCATTCAGCCTGGAGAAAAGGGCGTGGGATCAGTGTGCTCTTTGCGGCAGCACGGGAAACAGCTTGATTAGGAAGATAGCCGGGGGCCCGAGCCAGATTTAAAGTCTAAGCATCAGTTTGGAGGATTTTAGCAGGAACACACTGCTGAACGAGCCATGACCCAAACTCAGAACTCAACTCACAGTTGAAATCGAATCTAATCAAGTGAATACATTTGAGTAAATATTCTTTCAGAGCTGACCAGTGTCAGGCCCCTTGGAGAGAACCTCAGAGTGGGAAGACTGGTTAAAACTGGCCATTGGGGGCTCCTGGGTGGCTCAGTGGGTTGGGCCGCTGCCTTCGGCTCAGGTCTTGATCTCGGGGTCCTGGGATCGGGCCCCGCATTGGGCTCTCTGCTCAGCGGGGAGCCTGCTTCCTCCTCTCTCTCTCTGCCTGCCTCTCTGCCTGCTGGTGATCTCTCTCTGTCAAATAAATAAAATCTTTAAAAAAAAAAACAAAACTGGCCATTGAGTTCTGGAGCACCAGGTTTCCTAGTTTTCTGCAAGGAGCAGGGCTTTCTCCACCCATTTAGAATGTGCCTTCCAAATCACTTGGGAATTTCTATCGTTCAACAAGAGACTAAAAGCTTGCCTGGGCCTATAGTCCAGAGTGACCTCGGACCACGGAGTCATTTATGATTTTATTTAGAAAGCTCCAAGTGGAAAACATCAATATTAGACATCAACTGTTTTTTCAAAGGAAAAAAAAAAAAGGAAAAATTCAATGTGGTTGTTAGGGTAAATCCGGTGGAAAGACTGGAGTTTAAAATCTCACTTAGAACCAACTTCTTTAAAAATGAGGGGGGGCCTCTTTGGATAGCTTAGAGTTGGCAGGGACCTTCTAGACTTGCTGTTTAGGTGCTTTTTAAAAACAGGAGTCTCAGAAGTCAAAGTTACAATAATGTGTGGACCTTTACATTCTTAATGCAGCTATGATATTTCTCTTAACAGAAGAGCTATGGTTTCTTATTGGCGAGCATTTTTCAGGTTCTCTTCGCAAAGCAGCTTCCTGGCGTTCACAGATTGCCAATTAAAGGTTCAGATTCATTGACGGAAACTGATTTTAGTGCCGTGGTCCCGAACAATCTAGTGACAGTTTCAGGCCTAAGGACTAAGAGGAGTCTTGGAAGTGGCACTTAGGAGCACCTGCACTTCTCAGAAGGAGAAGGCATCACATACATGAAGTGTGCACACATTTCCAGCTGTTTTGCAAAACAAAACAAAACACCAGTTGGCATCAGCTGATACAGATTCAACTCTGCTTTACTAGGATGCTAGGAAATGTGTCTGTTATTTGTAAACATTCCAACTTTGACCACTCTGAATGGAAAGGTCTCCGAAAGGGACACCAGTATTCCAAGACAGTTCACACCTTCGAGATATGCATGAAAGGCTATGAAAAAATGTATCCAGATGACTCTCCAGAGTCTCAGTAACTCTACCAACCAAGGGTGGAGGAAACCCCAGACAGAGTCCCAGTGATCCGAAGGTGCTGGCAGAAAGACCTGAGGCACAAGTATAGGGTTGAGTGGTTGGAGCTTTCTGGACCTAGGGAGTTTAGGCAAAGCCCTCCCACTCAGACTCTGCTTCAGGTTAGATACTGTTTATATCCAAGAAGTAGTCATCTGTGGAAACTGAAATAATCAGTACTTAGCATGAAAAGCAAATTCATCTTGTCAAAAGGCATTACCTTGAAGGATGTGAGCTGCTAACAAGGCGGCGTCTGATGTTTTACAGAGGAGGCGGCCATGGTAGAGATCCCTTTTGATCTGTAGGAAGACTAAGTACCTGGAGAGAAAACAGAGGCTGAACTAGAAAGGATTTCTCTGATGGCTTTAAAGACATAAGGATGGAATATGAGCCTATCAAAATTCTCATCAGGGAGCTTTTTTACTACATTAAAATAAACTTAAAATGTACCACAGAACAAATGTATTTTCCATTTTCCTAAAGACTTTTAAGTACTTTGCCTCGAACTGATTTGGGGTTCAATTCAAAACAACCTGTTGGTTTCCTTTACTAGCTCAAGACAGAATTGGTGCTTTCTGGCAAAAGCACTGTGCCCCACCCCAGTGCTGGGTTTTGGAAGGGGCCAGCCCTGGCCCCTTCAGTGCTAAAAAAGAAACCTGTGTCAGCAGAGAGAGGCCAACTGGGCCCCTCTCTGTCATGGATTCTGGCTGATGTTTCTTCCTAAGAAGCAGAACGGCGGGTGAAGGAACCAGCCCAAGGAGGAGTTCCGCCTCAGCCTGCCAAGACACCCTGCCCAAGTGTGGCAGGGCCTTCAGTTATTGGCAGAGCTCAAATGGAGCTCTCAGAATCTAAATAAGGTGTAAAAAGGGGCACCTGTGAAGGAAGCAAAGAAACTTGTGGCTAGCGTTTCTTCTAATAGAGAAAGCTCTCACCTGAGATGGAAGCAGGACAAGAGTAACAGCTAATAGTAGCCAATACGTATCAAGCACTTCTGATCTGCCAGTGCAGGGGTTACACACTTTACGTGCACTATCTCATCTCATTCTCACCTAAGACTTTGAAAAAGGTACTATCATCCCCCCATTCTTAAAATATTTAATTCCAGTATAACATACAGTGTTTCTTGTATTATTCCCCCCTTTTAAGATAAAGGTACTGAGGGTTAAGTGATTTTTCTCACCGGCACACAACTGGGAAGTGGCAGAGCCAGGATTTGAGTTCAGGACTCTGAGACTCCCTTTTGTTGGCTCTTAGTCACTATGCTATATGGCCCTCCTTGCATTGTAACTTCTTCCAGTTCCACAAGGAGTTGGGTGGACCCTGTCACAGTGGAATGGAATTGTTGGCTCTATTTTTAAATGTCTTTACAAGGAGTAGGTCTCTGATGTCAAAACATTACAGGTGCCCTGAGAAGAGCAAACACCAAGGGTATTAAACCCTTAAGTGTGTCACCTACTACAGTGATGCCTTGTCCTGGGGCATCTGTGGTGATTTAGAAATACGCCCACAGATTCTTTGATACTCCTCATTTCTGGAAGTAGAACTTAATTCTCTCCCTTCGTATGTGGGTTGGACTTAGTGACTTGGTTCTAACAAACAGAATGAAACAGAAGCAATAGTGTCTAACATCTGAGACTAGGTCATAAAGAAGTGAATCCTCTAGTCAGACCTTCAGATGACTGCAAGCCCATGGTAGACCCTGAGCCAGAGCCCCCCACCTAAGCCTCTCCTGAATTCCTGACCTACAGAAATGGAGTGATAATAAATGCTTGTCATTTTAAGCCAAGTTTTGTGGCATTCTGTTAGCCATAGATAACCACAGAATCCCTGCGGGAGTAATGGAAATATAAAATTCCCCTAAACTCAAACAGTCTGAACCAAAAAGAAGTTGGGCCCCCCCCCGGACAACTAGAGGTTTCCACTGCTTCTGTTTTCAGGCTGAAGAATAATACAGAGGATTCTATGCCCATTTGATCCCGTGAAAATGCTCAAAAGAAAGAGGATCATTGACCATGTAACTTCTGGGGTGGGGAGAGGTACCAACAGGTGACTACTGATTCAAGTAATTAACAAATGCAGGAGCAATTAAACCTTCTCTCCTAAGGCTCTGATACTCAAATTGTGGCCCACAAATCAGGGGGGTCAGCATCATCTGGGAGCTTGTTGGAAATGGAGAATATTAGGCCCATCCTGGACCTACTGAATCATTTTAACAATATCCCCAGGTGACTTTAATATATAAAGTTTGAGAAGCACTGTCCTAAGAATATTCGAAAGCATCCATCAAACCACTTCAGGAGGGACTGCTCTCCCCAAACCAATGGGAAGGTGAGTAATCTTGTCTGAAAGTTGCTAAGAACTCCGCTCCTCACTACCAACCACCACCACCAGCAGCAGCAACCCTGCTCTGCCCCAGTGTTTGCTATGAAAAACTGAAAGAAAAAGACATCATGTAGAGTGAATAATTAAGACGGGTCTACCAGATCTGGGTCTACCAGATCTGGGTCTACCAGATCTACGGGTCTTCACTCTGTTTCCCACAGTAAAAATGCCACACCTCCCTATGGGAGAGAGGGAAGGAGGGGGAGAGGCAAAGCGGTTAGGAGGAGGGAGGGGGAGAGAGGGAGGGGGGAGTGCTTCTTTGCCTCTCACTGCTCTAGCTCCTACCTTCCACAGGCTTTGGCAGGATGTGGAAGCCAACCTTTTATCCCTTACTCACTGATCATTCCCTGGGCCTGAGTTCATATATCACTCCTGTACTTCTCTGTCTGTGTCCCCAATTCAGGGACAGCACATATTGGACTAAAGGAGATATTGAAAAGGGACAACAAGTCTCTGGACTGTGATTCTCAATGTGGCAGTGAGGAGAATGTCCCCTGGGGGGAGCATGTCAGAATCTGTGTCTCCTGGGTTTGAAAAAGCCTTGCTGGACCTTCTGATCTGCTCCCCTTCCCACCCAGAAGGGACAAACTCCTCCTGACACTGAGAACCATTGTCTTTATGAGGCATCTTTATTTTTTTAAAGATTTTATTTATTTGACAGAGAGAGAGCACAAGTAGGTGGAGCAGCAGGTAGAGGGAGAGGAAGAAGCAGGCTCTCTGCTGAGGAGGAGCCCGACTCAACTTGGGGCTCGATCCCAGGACCCCAGGATCATGACCTGAGCTAAAGGCAAATGCAAACGCTTGATAGACTGCACCATGGCACCCCATGAGGCATCTTTATTGATGGGTGCATGGTCGGTGCCTCAGTGAGCTGGGAAGTATACAGGTTTCCACTACTGAGTGGGGTTTCTTCAGACTAATGGAGGTAGGACAGCTACAGGGGGGGTCAAGGGTAAGACCACGGGAATACTGCCGGGCAATGGTACAGCAACTGCTGGGAAAGGGGGGACAAGTCAACGTCCTAAAAAACAAAGCACAGCTTTTGAAGTCAAGAAGAAGGGAGCTCATGAAAGAATCGGCCATCAGCTTTAGGGGACAGAGCTGTACTAGGTCCCCCTCCCTTTTCTGCCACGGTGACGTTCATCAAGCTTCATGTTTTGTTCACTGAAAGAGGTAACCAATGTGTCGCTGTTGTTGGACATGAGAATGCATTCCACATGACTCGTAGCATCCCTAGACCTATTCTCAAGAGAACGTGGCATAGTCTCCCCTGCCACACATGGGTCTAAGGAAGTCTATCCTGTTGCCTGAGACACTGCCACTGGGGCCACTTTGTTACCAGGGAAGAGATCTGTCTGCCAGGGCTACCCAGCCCAGCCAGCTCTAGGTGAGCAAGCTAGACGGGTTACCCCATCTCAGAACCTGAGAATAGAAGTGAAAGAGCCTAATTCTCTCTTATGTGAGGCAACAGAAGACTGAACACGTAACTTGTCTGAGGTGATAAACAGTGACCAGAATCAAGGAAGGCCTCCTGACTCAGGGCCTAATGCTTTTTCTACCTCCATGGTAATTCAGCTAGTTATTAGAGAGAGAGGGGTCCTAAATCAAGTCAAGAGAACTCTGTCACTGGAGAGAAATTCTCATTGGAACCAAAGAATAAATCAGCCTTAGACCAGATTTAAGACAACAGCTTATTCCTTAGGACACTTCTTTGGGTAAATTTTGCCAATCTCTTCCTGGCCTCATCTCCATTTTTGTTTTAATGCCAATGTTGTCCTAAATTAATGGAAGTATGAAATGGACTATCCGAAGGCAGAGTAAGTGAAAATCTAAAAAGACAGCCAAGGAAAACCTGTCTTTCTGTGACATGGACGTCTCTCCAAGGTGTTGGCTTTCTGATATCAGAGGGTGGAGATGAATCCACAGATGGTTCCAGAATTAAAGGTTCTGACCTCTGGAAAGAACTGGTATCTCTTGAAGAGTTTCTCCAAAGAGTTCTTACTTCGGTCCTGGACTTTCCTTCATCAGATTCTTTGTCCCTGGCTTCCTCTATAATCTTATAGTCATCTCCTTGCAGTCAGAGATGTTTTTCAAATTTACTTTTAATATTCTAGAGACCCTGTACATCTTACGCCTAACTCCCTACTCACCCTTCCTCCCACGCATCATCCATCCATCCATCTATCCATCCACTTCTGAGCACTTACATGAGTCAGGCACTGCCACAGGTGCTGGGAATACAGAAGGGAACAAAACAGAACCCCCACTCTTATGGAGCTTACATTCCAGCAGAGAGAGACAGACAATAACAAAACAAAGTAATAATGATTTACTGAATGCCTGTTGTCAGCCATACACTGTACTGCAGTTTGTTGTAACTAGGCTCCATGCCCAATGTGGGCTCAAACTCATGACCCTGAGATCAAGAGTCACATGCCATACTGAGTGAGCCGGCCAGGGGCCCCCACACCATGCTGGTTAACATGCACCCTCTCCTGCAGTCCTCACCATGACTCTGGGAGGTGACTACTGGTTGTTTTTCCCTGCTTCATAGATGAGGACACTGACTGACTGGAGAGACTGTCCCTTGCCTTGTCTCACCAGTTAGTTAAAGAACCTGGAATCTGAACCCAGCTCTTTTCAACATGTTAGTCTGGGGTCGGCACGCTACGGCCTGCCACCAGAGTTTCCAGGGAAATAAAACCAATTTTGCTGGAATGCAGCCATACTCATCCATTTAGGAGTCTCCGGCTGCGTTTGCACTGCAAAGGCAAGAATGAGGAGTTGAGCCAGAGACCATATGGTGCACAAAGTCTAAAATACTGACTCTCTGGCCTTTTTTAGAAAATGCTGACCAGGCCATCTTAGCCTAGGGTAGGCTCAACTGATGTTCATCAAAGGAACTTATGACCTATAAACTCCATTCGTTCTCGCATTTTATCCGGTCATTCTATTCATATTTTTTGTGAGCAGCCCCACTCAAACATGTGTCAGGCAAGATTGTTTCCTTAGAAGGTGGGGGCCCATTTGCACTCAGTTTCCTCCTACTATTTGATCTTTCCAAGAGTTCACACACCTGCGGTCCCCATTAAACGCTAAATCTGGAGCCTAATCCCTGTTTTCTCTGTCTTGTCTCTAGTTCAGACAAGGAAATCTATTTATTACTTTAAAAAATGACAAAAGAGATTAATCAGGATTTGGCAACTAAATTTATCATCTGGAGAGAGTCCAAGAGATAAATGGAAGTACAGTGCTTTATGCCTTATTTCATCCCCTCCTCTCAGTCTGGCTTTATGGGAATAGCTGAGACGGCATTGAAATTTAGGACCGATATTGCTAGGAAAAAACACACTGACAGCTAAATTAGTTTGGCAGGAAGGTGGCATGAAGGGTTCCAAGCCAGGAATGAATTATGGGTATTGAGTGAGGCTGGGGCAGGTACCCGCTCTCTCAAGATCAGTAGGGAAATGAACGAGCAGAAAGACTCAGCTAATTCCAAGGCCTCCACAGAACGGCCAAATCAGGCCAAGGCACCCTGCACTTCACACCCCCAGCAATGCTTGGAAAATGCATCTGGGGAAGGAGGGCTGGTGAGGTGGAGAGCAAGGGGAGAATAGTCGAGGACAAGGATGCTCAGCACAGATGTATGCAGAAGGGGGAGGCGCTCACACCCTTGCCGGTGCCTTTGAAGCTTGCTGACCTGGAGAGAGGCCTGGCCGTGGTCCTGGTGCTGTGCCACCAGGACTTGGATGACTGATTGCCTGGGAAAGCTTTTTCTCTGAGCCCTCAAAAGTTAGCTGCTTAAGTGATAGGACTCTAGCTGGTGGGGGAAAAGGACAGAGGAGGAGCGGGAAGTCTCAGAAAAGGAGCGCCTTTCCACCTCAACAAAGGAGAGAAGCCAGAGCTAACTGTACCCGTGCCCTGTGCAGAGCCCTTGGGTGTCCAAGGACCATGGACTCCAACCGGCAGCCTCTGCTGGGCACAAGGCTTGCCCAGGGCCGTGGGGGTGTGTATCACAAAGTACAAGACCCTCGGGTAGTGGTCAGTTCTCCCAACAATTCTGTGCAGGAGCTGTTACTCTCCTCATTTTATCAATAAGGGATCTGAAGGGGGCGCCTGGGTGGCTCAGTGGGTTAAAGCCTCTGCCTTCAGCTCAGGTCATGATCCCAGGGTCCTGGGATCGAGCCCCGTATAGGGCTCTCTGCTCGGCGGGGAGCCTGCTTCCTCCTCTCTCTCTGCCTGCTTCTCTGCCTACTTGTGATCTCTGTCAAATAAATAAATAAAATCTTAAAAAAAGAAAAAATAGGATCCGAGCTTCCGGGTCTCTGCAGCCTCTGGATAGGAGAGTCTGTCCATTAGCGTCACGGAGGAACACCTGATTTAGAAAATTCTCTTGTTAAGCGCTCCCCCTAAGGGCCAAGATAACCACATATTTTTGCCCTTTAATCGAATCAGAAAGCCTGAGTGCCTGCGGTGCTCTCACTGGCCACTGAGTTGTTAGAATCATCCCTGTCACCCTCGCTGCTGGTTGAGCGAGGTGGAGACCGGGAGATCCCAAGGTGTGGGGTTGGGAGGCAAGGTGCTAGGTTCTCAAGAAAGAGCTGTTAAGTTTGTCCAAACATGTGGACAGCAGCGTGGCCTTCTGGGTCTGCCCTGGCATCATCTCTCAGCAGGGAAGCAGGTGGTGGGGAGAGGGACAGGCTCGGAGTGAGGCTCGGACTCTGAAGGTCCCGAGCAGGGCGGGCTCGTGCTCCTAAAACCGCACAGTCACTCCTGTAATTGGATGAGCAAAGTGGGAGCCCCATCCACTTCCGTGCAGGTGAGCAGAACCTGCCATTTCCATGCCCAGTAAGGAGCATGAACACACCTCGCTGACCTCAGGGCTTCAAAGGTGTTGCCTGTGCGCTGTCCCTAGCGTCCCAAAGAAACAACCTTCCTCATCCTTCTGACGGTACCACCTGTTCTCCCCAGACTCCCCCTGGGGCCCATGTGAAGAAGCCTCTTTTCCTCCCCGTCCCACTTCTTTGCTTCTTTGCACTACTTAGCCCCTTTATTTGCCCTCTTCTCTCCCCATTTCCTCGTTTTCCGTCTCTGAGAAACTGTAGCTCCTTTTATCTGACATAAAGCTAGTGGCACACTCTTCGGAAGAGGAAGCAAATGTAAGTCTGTATTCCTTCTTCCCTCCTCTTTCCTCTCTTTGGAATTCTCCCAAGCAGCTAAGGATCTGGAAGGAAACAGCAAAGACTTAGAGGACAGAGTCTCTAACTGGCCATGACCTCATCCCAGTCTCTGCAGTCTCCCAGGTTTTAGGGGGATCAGGGAGCCGGCAGGCTCTCTCTTCCTCGGCTCTAGACTTCCCTGGCCTCGCTCTTGCTCTAGGGCCCTGCCCTCTCCAAGGTAACACCACCATTCTGCAGATATCAAAATTAGGTATTTCAATATAAAAATTAGGGGTCCCTGGTACAGAGCAAGATGTCTGAGGCAAGACTTTGAGAGTGAATTTGTCTCATATATACAAAACGCTGGGGAAGATTTGAAGTGCCTACTCTTTGACCCTCTTGTAGGATGACATGGGCCTGGAAGCTCTTTCTCATCCTCAGGTGGTGCTGGATGAAACAGGATTCATTCCACGCAGCTGTCTGCCCGCCACAGAACACGGCCTCCACAAGGAAAAGTCCATCACGGACCGGATCCCTCAGCACACTGGAGTTTATCAACGTGGATTTACAATCTTCAGTATTTGCCGGCTTCTTCTGCAGTGTCCTGCTTTGGCATTTCCCAAGTACATGAGGCCACTGGAGTCTATTTCAAGCACCTGTCGCCGCCAAACAAAAGCAACCCACCCTCTCCAAAAACATCCACGGGGGCCACATCCTTGGTAAGAGAAAAAAATACTTTTGATTAATTAATGACTCCAGGTCCCTTTTGTAGGTGACCAGTTTAAATGAAGTATTCACACTTGAAGGAAAGCTCACTCTGTTCCAGTTCTATTGAGTGGGTGGGCAAAGAAAGCATGTGGAAACGAAACGCAGAAGTAAGGTTCTATTTAGGAAGACTCCTTCCTTCTAAGAGTGAGAAGCTTCCAAAATAGAAGCTCTGAGAGGCTCCAGTCCCTCTTTCCCATCCTCTCCAACAGGTCTCAGTGGCTGCGGGAAGTTCAGCCTTACCTGGTTATCTCCTCCTTCAGGGCAGCAGGATCCGCAGGATAAAACTTCACGCGGAAACACATGGTGAACGGAGGCTGGGCTGCGGAGACAGAGGCGTGCCCGTCTCAGGAAAGACCCTTCCCAGAGTATCACTGGGCTTCCCTCCCCACTGGGATGCACGGGCTCCTGAACCATCATGAGAAAATCCTCACAGGTTTAGGGCCAGCTTACATGGGAAATGGTGAACAATTACCAAGACTTACTGAACTCGGGAGGTTTCATCCCCCACCGCCCTGCCCCCACCCAGGGGTAGGCTTCCCACCTTTTCAGGAGGAAGACTTACATCTCAATTGCTTCACCACAGACTTTGTAAACTCCAACCAATGCTGCAACAGAGAACACAGGACGAGAAAACCCGAATGAGAAGCGGCGTCCAATATACCTTGTTGTACCCACTTGAGAGAACTGGACAGATTGTAGCCCAGGGTGAAAGCCTCCCCAAAGCTTGTGATATGTAGGCTTGGAGAATAGAGAGTGATAGGGTTTTTGGAAGTAAGGCCCCTATGGAACCAGCTGTGGAGGGGGAAGAGTTCCAGCTTTACATGTCATTTCTGGGCTTGCCTGGCAATGCTGCCTTCCAAAGCAGGGTGCCAGCATTCCGAGCCGCATTCCCTGCACACCAGCAGGCACAAGCGAATGCACGTATGTGTGATGGGGACAAAGCCCCGCCTGTCTTGAGCAGGGAGATGCCAACGTTAGTGGGTTGTGTGTGTTCATGTTATGTGCCAGCTTTTTGAGGGGGGCAGGGCTTTTTGGGGGACAGGGGTGGGCAGGGGGGATAGAGGCTATTGGTCGGGGCTCTAGAAAGTGTCAACAGGTGGAAGTTCATCAGTGGTGAGAAGGCAGGAACGGCTGGTGCATACTCTTGTCTTTGTTTGAACAGCATATTGCCAACCCCTGTGTGAGGGTATATATACTCACATTCCTTGGCATCCGGGGATGTTTGAAGTCTCAGTCTCATAACATAACTAACCACAACTAATGTGTAGGAAAGTATGGTTTTCCCCCCTAGATTTTTCATAGGGGCAGGACATAGTAGCAATACCTTTTTTCCCATGGTACTTAACGTTTGCAGGAAGGAAGCAACGAGATCATTCTAAACTGTTTCCCAGTTCTACATGAATGCTTTATAAAATCCATTATTGATGTTTGTTGCTTTTATGCTAATCAGGAAATCTGAGAGTTTGCAGAGAGCTACAACTGCTGTTACTTGGGATTGGATTATGTGGAAGTAGACTGAAACCATTAGCCATAAGTTCTGTGAAGGCAGAAAACTGTCAGCCACTGGCACCTTGAACAGTGTTTGAGACACGGCTGCCAAACGGACAAAGGAAGCCGGTCCGTGCTGGGTCCACATCTCCCTCTTTTCTGGCTACTTCCATTTAGTGTAACATCTTGGCCAAATCCTCCCTCTGGCAGGAAAGCAGCCAGGGCGGTGCAGACAGCACCCTGGCCTCCCGCGGTTCCCAGCTCTCACCTTCTGGGCTGGGCTGCGGGTCACACAGCTAATGGACCCACTAAGAGCCAGTTCTTCCGTCAGCTCCACATGGATAATCTGGGCTGACATTCTGCTCTCTTGCTTCCTCTGATCTGAGTTCCCACGAGGCTGGCAACTCATTATAGCCACTCAATGTGGTTAAGAGGTTCTTCTCACATTACATGGCCCACTGCGGCTGGGCTTCACAGGGAAGCAAAGGCAAGAGATGAAATTGCACGGAAATAAGTGGGGTTCGAGGCTGAGCCTGTGAAGGCGGAGGAGGTCTGCCTGATCGGAGCACATCGGAATTGTGTGCAGCGAGGAGAACACAGCAAGTGTCTGGGGCTCAGTAAACAGAACACCCCCAGGCACATGACTGATAGGTTAAAATCAATAAACAGTGGAAGACCGAAACTACAAGGAAAGACTGTGAGAAGTGCTCTCAGCAGAAGGCAGGTGGAGCTGAACAACAAAAAGTCTAGTCCCCTTGGCCAGTGCAGAGGAGGACTTCAGTCTGCCCCGCAGTGAGAGCTCAAGAAGGGAGAGGCTGGAGGAGATACGAGAGGGGTATGAGGGGAGGGAACAGCTATCACAGTTTGTCCAGGAGATTTTAAGGGTCTAATAGAGAAATCAAGAGAAATCAGGATCCCAAAAAGAAAGTGATGGCCACAGTTACCTTTTACTGTGGTCTGGCTGAATCTGGGTCCCACAATCACTAGCAGACTGATAACATAAGATTGGGGATGAAGGGTCAGGAGAAGAGGAAAGACAGAGGGGAGTTTCCACCTGTATTTGGGCCAGTGGGCCAATGGGGCATGATCTGGAGGCTCTGGAGACTGGAAAGGGTGCCTCCAGTTTGAAAGTAGAGGCTGAGAGCAAGGTGGGGCCCTGGGCCTGAGCCAGCAACAGGGGAGAGGGGAGAGAGGGCAGCTCCTCCAGGAAGGACTGGGAGAGTTCCTAGACCCCATGGGGCACCTGTGCAGAGCAGGCAGTAAGGGGGTGGATGTGAGCTTGGGTTCTGGTGCCTCAGGGGAACCTAAGGGACTGGGGAGCTCATCCACTCCATCTCTACCACGAGTAGATAGATCTAGGGTGACAATTTCCCCACAATTCTCAAGAACCTTTCCAAGCCCCTCCACTCTCCTTAAACCCTCAGTACAGTCACACAGCTTCAGAAACTATCAGGTATGAATTCAGCTGGAACCTTAGGACCCACACAGAGTCTGGCATCGGACAGCTCCGAGTTGGAGACTGGCAGGCCATATGCCTTGGGCAAGTGACTACTTAACCTGAGATTTTATTTCCTCATCCAGAGAATGGCTATTTGACTTGTGGATACTCATCTCATTTGTGTAAAGATTAAGGAACATATGTGAAGCTTTTAGCTTCGTGCCTGATACAACTCAGTGCTCAACATACATCGGCTAAAAGGCGTCACAAACCTGAAAAACTAGGTTTGTGCTCGGAGCACAGTTCAGCACATGGTAGCCACTCTGTACATGTTTCTTTCTCCTTTCCCCCATTTCCTTATAGTTTTCTATCTCCTCCTGCTTTTAATCTTGATTCCCTCCATGTACTCTCTTACTCTTCTCAAGCACATTTTGACCTAACTAGAAAATAATGATATGTTTTGTCCCTTTTTCTTCATAAGCCACTCTCTTTAGGAGATGGAGAGAATTTGGGGTAACCAGCCTTCCTTCTTAAGAAACAGCTCAGACCAAAAAAATAAACAATAAGAAACTCTCTTGTAAAAACAGTCCCATCATTATATAGTAAATGGACACCTATACCATGTGAGGACATGTGGCTTCTTGGTGTCATGGCTCTTTTGGGGTCTTATACTCCATTCCAGAGCTGAGGAAAGAGCTATGTCAAGACTGTGGAGACTTCATAGGGCAAAGGGCAGTTCAGGCTCTGGAAAGAGAGATGGACGACATCTGGAGAGCCACAGCAGGGAGGAAACAGGTCAGGGGAGAGGAAGCTGAGGGGGAGGCTGGGGCCTGGGGGTGATGGACCTGTTCTCATCTCTGTCTGGAAGGAGCCCCGTGTCTGTAGAGCAGAACAAGAACCACAGCATTGGCAAGGTGCTCAGAGGCCTATGTCAGTTGGGCTCTATCTCTGTGCTGCCCAAACTGGGGAAAGGTGAGGCCCTTCATAACCAGAACTGTGTGCTTCAGCTCATTTATTAGAAAGCAGATGCGAGAAGCTCAGCCTGTGACCTGTGCTCAAAGACAAGAACGCCAGCCCCGCCACTCAGCCGCCAGCTGGCCAGCTTTGGGCAGATCACACCAGCCCTCGAGGCTGCCATCTCAGCATCTGTGAAACGACAGGCCACACTAGCTGAGCTCTGCCAAGGTGGCTTCCTGATCTCATTACGTGATCTGAAGAGGTGACACACAACTGTAGGGCCCGGGTGGCCCCTGATACCTGAGGCTACACTCAAGAGTGTGCATGGCAATTCAAGGCCTCAGGCTACTGACCAACCCTCTTCTCTATGTGTGCTTCGAATATTGACTTACCCGCTGCTTGTCTGGGTCCACAAAGCGGATCCCAAAGTAGTCTTTCTCGAGAAGGTTCAGGTGGTGGCAAAGAAGGTCAAACAGGTACTGGCCTTTGGCATCTCTCTGCAAAGCAAGCAAGCTCCATTGAGAAACGATAGGGCTTCTTCAGGGTAACTCTGTTTTGATTGCCATTAAAAATCATTCAAGGGCACCTGGCTGGCTCAGTCGGTAGAGCATGAGACTCTTGATCTCAGGGTCGTGAGTTCAAGCCTGACACTGGGCCTAGAGATTAGTTTAAAAAATCGTCTGTAAGTTGGATGAGGGTATGAAGAGGGCACGTGTCTGTAACCGCGTCCTCCATATTGTAATGCATTAGACAGTCTCGAGTTCCAAGGCTTTTTGCACCCAGAAGGAGCCCAAGAATGCTTCATTCCACAAAGATGTCACAGAAGTCAGAGGAGAGTCAGGTAAGCCCAGTTCAATCTCAAATGCACGAAGCGTTCAGAACTCGCAGGAGCGGGGCAAGTCAGTGTGGGACACACCGAGGCCAGCAGGCCCTGCCTCTAACGTAGATCCTGAATCCACCCACTTGTCTCCGTCCCCATTACCAACCCCAAGGTCAAGCCACCACCATCTCTCAACACCCTCTCTCCCCACAGGCAAACAACGTGACCATGATTTAGACATGGGACATTTTATTGCTGAATATGTAACACAGGCATACAGATATATTCAAACGTACGAAAGGATACACTACGAAGAGTAGTCTCCCCTCCACCCTGGTCACCCTGTGCCTCAGTTCCCCTCCCCAGAAGCAACCCATGACCAGCTCCTTGTGGATCCCTAATGTGGCTGTATACACGAGCAAGCCTATTTACAGATACATCACTTTTTAAAATATAGTGGCAACATAGTTTACGCTGTATTCTATTTCTTGTTTTTTTCCTCCTTAGCATCCCTTGCGAATCCTTCCCTGGCAGTACATACAGACAGGCCGCGTGGTTTTTAAAAGCTGCAGACACTAGGATGAACCCACACTACTTACCCAGCTCCGTATTCAGGGAACGCCTTTCTAATCTGCTATTACAAACAATGTGGCCATGAGCACACAGTGATCTTTAATTAGGTCACCGCTCTTACTTAAGACTGTCAATGGGGGTGCCTGGGTGGCTCAGTGGGTTGGGCCGCTGCCTTCGGCTCAGGTCGTGGTCTCGGGGTCCTGGGATTGAGCCCCGCATCGGGCTCTCTGCTCAGTGGGGAGCCTGCTTCCTCCTCTCTCTCTGCCTGCCTCTCTGCCTGCTTGTGATCTCTCTCTGTCAAATAAATAAATAAAAATCTTTAAAAAAAAAAAAAAAAGACTGTCAATGGCTTCCCATTGCTTTCAGAATAAAACCTAAACTCCAACCATGGCCTCCAAGGCTCTATACACCCTAGCTCATCCCTCCCATGAACTCCTCCCGAATCATTATCCTCACGGCTCCCTCGCCATGGCATCTCTCCCTCATGCCTCAAAGCTTTCGGCTCTTGGGGTCTGTGTACACCCACTGCCTGAACCGCCCCTCCTCCAGCTCTTCCGGGGGGCCACACCTTCTCTCGAGGTCTCAGCTCAAATGTCCTCTCTGCAGAGGTCTTTCCCCTACAGAAGGGCCCCTCCCAATTATGATCCTTTTATCCTGTTTATTCCCTTCCTGGGACTTACAAAGGTCTGTAGTTATCTTGTTGATTTGTTTACTTGGTTTTTTTTTCCTGCCAGCTCCCTTTCTAGACTGTAATTTTCATGAAGGCAGGAGCCCTCCCGCGGAACTTAGCACGGGCCCTGGCCTACCGCAGCTGGGTCCTCAACAATTAGTCACTGATAAGCAAACAACTGAAGGGATAGAAGGTGGAGGGTTGGCTAAAAGTTTTCATAAATTAGGAAATTAGGCCATTTCTAAACCTTTATCTTCTCCTTCAGAGACCAGCATCGGTATTTGGGATGAGCTGGAAGGAGGACGGCTTGCGGAAAGCCGTCAGAGTTATCTGGAGCTCTGCAAGATGGCAGTCTCTGGGCCTGTCCCCTGTGGTCTCTGCAGCTCAGTGGAGATGATCTCCTGGGGGAGGGGGGGGGGACGGGACTGTATCTCATTTGCATCCAAAAGCAAGGCTGACTTCTAAAATCCAACATATCTCACCCTTGTCAAGGCCTAAGGGCCTGGTGCTGCTCCAAGAATGGGCAGACCTTTCCGACCTCCACAAAAGGTTTACACCTCACCACTTCCCTGTCGGCCAGAGCACCCTATACTTTCCAAGGAGAACTAGGGCAGGACAGCTGATCTCTCAGGAAATATCTTAAGAAGCTTATCCTTGCAGGATTAGAAGGATGAGTGAATAGGCAGCTCAAGTAAGGGAAGCAGTGCCATGAGGGCACCCGCCTTCCTCTCCTGCTGGCCCCACGCTCCCTCTCAGCACGACCCCAAGGCAGCTGCCCCTATCCTTACACCCTTTGATCTCCCACCAGAAAGAGCTACTCTCGGGGCAGACTTGTTACAAACCACGCAGGGACTTCGGGGCAGGTTTTGCAAAAGACTCCATCAACAACTGTCTCTTTGGGCAGGGACTGCCAACTATTTCCTCACTGATACCCCAGAGTGTGGGAAGAGCTTAAACTCTTCTGTAAGGTTCTTCCGGGAGCAGAGGAAATATGTTTAACTCTATCCCATGCGGCATGTCCTGTATTATTATCTCCCCCCCAGCTACTGGACTGGAATATTAAGAACCAGTTGCATATTGTGAATATTTTTCTCTAAAAATTTTGCCTTGTATCGAGGGGGCTACTTCATGGTGATCAGTAGGGTGAGTTTTCATGGCTGACATAGTTCACTTCCATCCCTACAACAACTGTATTAGCAGGAGCCTGGGGTAGCCATGGGGAACATGTGCTTGTGGGAGATAAATCACAAGAACTTTTAATGAGAATCATGTCTTCCATAAAAATATTTTTTATGAATAAAAATATGAATATATTCCATAAAAATACTTTTCATTTTCAGGAACTGGCAGCTTGGATACATTCACAGGGACCTAAGCTGGCTTTGAACTTTATATTCGATAGATCCAAACTCAGAGTTCTCCCACTTCACAGGAAGAAAAAGAAAACATGGCTTTGCTCATCAGATTGTTGTGAAAAAAAAAATTCCATTATACTCCCCTTATATCAATAAAAAAGGATCTTTTTCTTGCTACTTTTCAGCATTTGGTGAAACTGATGATCCCCACCATGAAGTCATAGTTCCCTCAGGTCCATCTACCGGTGGTAGAGGCATGGTTTTGAGCTACAAGGCTCTTAAGAGACTAATGAAGAGAAGCATCTTCATTTGCTGTTTCTCTGGCTGGGTGGGAGGTGAGGGGAATGGGGAGAGAGGCAGAAAGAGAGTGCCTCCTTATGGCAGAAGTCCATCAAGTTTAAATTCCAAGCAGAAACACAAAGGCAGAATCAACTCAGAACACTGCCGTGGCACCCTTCACAGAGGGTTGTAACTCACTCTTGCCAGGGGCTGGTGGAGAGGCCTGAGGCAGCCTTCGGGCACGGGGCGGGGCGGGGCGGGGGGGGGGGGGTCTCAGTCAGCCGAACCATCACAGCAGCCTCCCTACAAGAAGCCATTGGCAGGGACAAGTTCAGGAATTTTAAACTTCCTGTCCTTGTACTTTCAGAAGCCAGCCGGCAGTGTCCAAGGATTCTCTATCCATGGTCTCCCTGCACTATGTCTAGGGCTTTCTGGAATATTCTGTGGCAGCCGAATCTTGTCTTTCAGTGGGACGCAAAGTCCAGGGAGTACTGTCTTCTTTTCCCATTGCCTACAGTTGCTCTGACGCCACATGCGAAACCCTGTGTTGTGTGCTGAGTGTTGTGCCACTGATTCCTCTGGAGAGACGGGCACTTGTGTTGATAGGTGACTACTGTTGCGTCACCAGGTCAGGGTTCCAAGCCTGAGGATGCTTATCTTCAGGATGAGTGAGCTGCGGCAGAGCACCTGAATCCAGGGACCCCTCTGAGGTTATTCTCTTGCCAAAGATACCCCTGGGTGGAAATAACTTACTAAGCATCCACTTAAAAAATAAACTTATATTTTGTGAACCACAATAGGACCTATTGGAAAATAGTACCTAGTAGTAATTTGAAAATAATAGTGCATCTACATGCAATCCCTTTACTCTCTCTGTATGGTGTGCAGAGCGATGGACGGACTCTTTAGACTCACTCTACAACTCTGAGGTTGGGAGAACTCATTCTCGCTCCTCCCTGGAGCTCCAGGCTCTGGTTCTATTGTTTAGGAAGGAGACTGAGGCAGCAAGCAGTGAGCAGGCATGGGCCAGTGACCTAAACTACTCAAGGTTAATTGCATTTTCTGCCTCATAATCAATAACACTGGCCAGGAGAGCAGCTTTATTTTAGCCCATCGTGGGGTCAGTCCCAGGGACTCAGGCATCGCCCATCCTGATCAGAGCGGCTAATGTGTAGAAAGGTCCCCACTCATTAGGTCTCGCCTCATTTAATCAGCTTACCCGTGAGGTAGGCAGATTTTAAGTGAAAACTACATGAGTCTTGAAGAGGCCAAGAGCGATCACAACTTTCCCGGTCCCTGGGCTACGTGCTGTTAAAAAGGAAATGGCCACAGTTTCATGGGCCCTTAGAGAAGGTGGACATGAGAGGGAGGGTAGTAGGCAGTGGGCACCTGCAGTCCAAGAGCACAAGAGCCCGGGGGGTGTCAGGATGCCACGGCAAGGAGAGGGTGCCTAGAGGAGAGGGCAAGGGCTAAACAAATCTCCTCAGGGACCTGGAAGGGAAGGATGCAGCAGCAGGGGTGGGATGGCATCCCAGCCTCTGTTCTGGCTCAGCTTTATATTTAAATTTCTTAGAAGCCAGAGAAAGCCTGCCTTCTTTATCAGTGTCCTCGGAACGCATGTGTGCGCCCATGGCTGCCAGGTTCAGGAGCAGAGGAGGGGGAATGCACTTGAACATCCCAGAGAAACGGCCATGTAGCTCCTCTTCTCGGGGAGATGGCATGAATAAGCTGAGCCAGGAAGTGTGAATCAATGCCCGGGGAACGGTCCTGCCCCTGTGTTCACACGCTACACCCAGCCCA